ATTTTGTGTATGGATAATTGAATAATATTAAATTTTCATATTTAATTATCTTCTAAGTTGGTTTACTATGTTACTTTTTAATTCGTGACAGTGGATTGGTAACTCCGCATGCGCTATCTGGCTATTAGTGGGGATGAAAGCACTTGCTTTAGTTCAGCTGGCTCATTGTGATAAATTCAATCACAATAGTTTACAAGCAGACCGCCAGAAGGTCGACCAACTAGAGCAATAGGATTGCTTCCCTCCACCCTCCTACTCCCTCCTCTAACAGAGGTTGGAACTAAATTAGTTGAATACATCATTACTTCATCTACTGTGAATTGTAATAATAAAAATCTGAATGATTCGAACGTGTTCTGTAAAACGTGGGCAAGAGTTACGCAATACTGGTTTACACTACAAAAAATTTTGTTTTCTGGCATTTTAATTGCTTAATTGAATTTATAATATATAAATATATATATTTTATTGCACTAAAACATACAGTAACAACAATAAGTTAATAACAATGTTAGCAAACGCGAACTTATCTCTAAAAGAGATCTCTTCCAGTCAACCTAACGCAGTGGCGTAGGAAATAGTGAGTCGGCACAATTTATTTCACAAGAATTTTGTTGTGATTTCTATTTCACACGTATTATTCTTGTTATTATCATTTGAATTAACGAATGAATGAAAACTCTTTATTGTTTCCTTCAAATATTGACACAGATTATAAAAATTAATCATATGTCTTTTTTTTTGTACAACTTAGAATGGCAAACAAGCTGACGGCCCACCTGATGGAAAGTGGTAACAGTCGCCTATAGACATGAGCAGTACCGTGGACATAACAGAGTATACTGTTTCGCCCATGATACCCCCCATGCGTTGCCATTCCTGAGGACTCAGGTGTGTTCCTCTGTACCCAGTAAATTCACGCCACATCCCACGCTTCAAACCGAAACATAGCTATGCAAACACAACTGCTTCACGGTTGAAATACGAATGGGACAGAGGTACCCAAGCAATCGACTTTTGTACAAAGTCTCCCTCTGGTATACAAACCAAATGAATATTTAATTACATAAAGGCAAGATATAGAGGCAACAATGTCACTGTCCAATGGCAATTTGTCTTATCGTTGTGATTTTGATTTCACAATGATTATTTGTGATTTTTATTTCGCACGTATTGTTGATGTGATTTGTGATTTGTATTAATTATGTTTAAAAATTCTTTGTAATAAATATGTATATTTCAAATTAGAGGTTTCTTCAGTGTCGGCAACGCGCGCGTAATACCTCTGGCATTGCAGGTGTTCATAGGCTACGGTAACCGCTTACCATCAGGTAGGCCGTATGCTTGTTTGCCACCTCAGTGGTATGAAAGAAAATGATCATCCAAATTATTGGTAAATCTCATATATGAAATTGTCCGAATATGTATGATAAATTAAGTGAAACACATACAAATAACTCTGTGTTCTTTTAGTGTATATACGTACTAGCTATGTTTATATGAAGAAAAAAAAATTACAGACTGGAATCCAAATTTTTAGCATTATCTTAAGGCACTGTTCTACCAGTGAAATTGGACATTTTGACTAATTAATTTGTCACAAAAATATTTTGATTTTTTCTATACTAACTAAATACAGCACGTCGGTCTACTCTTGAATCCAATATCGATAGCAATCCAATATACTACCAGTGACAATTTTATACTGCGCTCATAAAACGGCAATTAGGGATTTGTTTTTATTAAGGAGGATAATGGAATGATAACCCTGCGCCATCGGTATACACTGGCGAGGCACCAGTGAGGGATGATAGGTGAGGATGAAGCAGGTTAGTTAGCCCATCGTGACAAATTCAATAAGAATTAGCCACGATGGTTTCTAGGGGAAACACGTGGAGGTTGACCTGACAGGGTATATTTTTTTTTGTAATGGATGATAATGGAATGGTAACCCCACCCGCGCTATCGGTATACACCGGCGGGGCACCAGTGAAGTATGATAGGTGAGGATGAAGTAGGTCAGTTAGCCCATCGTGACGAATTCAACAAGAATTGTTCACGATGGTTTCCAGGGGGAACCACGTGGAGGTCGACCTAATAAGGCATATTGCTAGCAATGGGGCTGTCAAACTCCATTACTAACAATCCCTTTCCCCCCTGACAGGGTATATTGCTAGCAATGGGGCTGTCAAACACCATCAATAACAATCCCTTTTAGCAATTAGGGATTAGGTGAAAATTGGAATCAGTTTGGTTTGATAATTTACACCAATATGCATCTATCAGAACAATATGGAACTATTATGTCGCTAGTGTTGCAATTCGAGAGTGCAAAACGTCAATTTAAATATCGATTTATTGGTATTAATTTCAAGAGAAACTGAATAGTTCTCGAGTTAGTATAGGAGGCTTGAAATTTCTCGTCGTTTCTCTGCTTGTGGTCCTTTAGAGAACGTGTTCAGTTTCGCCGGTGGAACGCTCCCTTCGACGCATGCTAAAGGTTTCGAGTTCACCTGTATAAAGGGATGACATGATAAAAAATATTTATTTACATATTTTTTTTTAGTTGTGTCTTCGAATATATATTTAAAAAAATTGTGATTGTTATTTTTTATTGATTAAGATTTATTACAATTATATTACAATCAAATTACATCTCCTATTACAACTGACGTCAATCCCGTTTATGTCAGTCCACGTCAGTCTGTCAGTCATACAATGACAGAACAAAAGTTTTATTTATGGTTTTACTTATTATGGCAATATTTGTGTAATAGGATAAAGTACTTTAGCTTTGAGGCAAAGAATGAAACAAAGTGCATTTAACTCAGTAAATTACAAACACATTTGTCCCGCTAAACCGCCACAAAAACCGACTTCAAAGGTGGCGAAGTCAGTTATTTTTATTTGAAAACTTAAATTACTGGAGCGATTTTGATAAACTTCTTTATCATGTCACCTCCTTAACGATTCCCATGATAAAACCATTAGGTTAATATTTTTTAACAGTGTTAAAAGCTAGCTGATATACTGTAGTTGTTTTGTGTTTTTATATAACTCTAATTATAACAATAAATATTTTTAATAATGTTTTTGATAATAACTTACACAGGATTTAGGACATGTCCATATTCCATTTTCGGCATAAAATAAAATCCCCAGAGATTTAATTAATACTAAACATTCTTATGTTTTTGCACGATAATAAAAAAAATAATAATGAAAAATATTTTTAAAATAAAAAAGTAAGTAAGACATCACCCTCTTTAGACATCACCAAAGTCTAACTGCGGTTGTCAACCGGCTTGCCAAGAGTGGCAACTGCTGGCAAAACCTCCCAGTGGTGGGTTTAGCAGTGGACAGTCAACGGCTGATATGCTGACCGTGATGACGAACATCAGCTGACTGTCTCATGATCTGGTCAAGTTTTCGTTTATTAGTATTTTTTATTTATTTATTTATTTATTTTCTCCACAAATTTTACAGAAAAACACAGTTACATGAAAAAAAAATACAACTATATATGTATGTATAATGACAATGGTCTGTAAAACTTGTAGGAGACTGCACCCTAAACTAGATCAGAGATCTGTATCTCAGGAATTCAGGCCCCCGACTCGGACACCGTGTGCAGCTTGCATTAAGGCTATTATTGAAAGAGTATATGCAATTAATTGCTCTTTATTTTTATATTTGTCATATTCGGATTTAAATAAATGTACATATTATTAAATATTATAAAGAAAAAAAAATTCGGTCCAGGATAGATTTTGGCAGTTTATTATAACATAAAATCTTACATAATTTCGTAGGAATTAATTATCGACTTCTTTCAGTCGATGGAGTGGCAGTATTAATTTGTTCTTATGGCGTAAGTTTTTATTATTACGACCATTTTATTATTATGTCAGATTAATTTGGTAAAATGGCACGATAAGTGATCAAACAAACTAGGACATGAAATGCCGAAAAAGGTAGGAATATTGATTTGTCCTAAATCTTATGTACCTATGTGTGATAGCAGTATGTTAAAACAGTTTCATACAGATTTTTTGGTTAATCCTTAAATACGTGAAGTTTCAAATTCGATACCGCGGTTATAAAACGCATTGGGCGCCTACAATCGATTTTATTTTAATATTTGGCTGTTTACATATTAGCAAATGTTTTTTTTTCAAAATAAATATATAAAAATATCGTTTTGATTTTTTTTTTACTATTTTTCCCCATTAGTTAAACACAGTAAAGGGTACACTTATATATTTTTTTTAATTTAGTTTAAAAAATCAGGAATTGATTCTCGATTATGCGAATCAAATAAAACCAGAGGTTATTCCGTATAATCGAAAATCCGGATACTCGGTTTTTAAGTCAAATCATACACTAATTAAATTTTAACATTATTTTTTCATTATGTAAAGGTTTTTAACACACGTCATTTAAACAATACGGTATATATATAAAAAAAAAAAAAAAAAAACTACGAGCTATATAGATAATGGATTACATACTTAATATCTATTTATTAATACATAATACCATTTCTGAATCGGTAATTAGAGATGTGAAATATAAGTCCGGATAATCGATTTTCGGATAATCGGGATTCTATTGTAGTATTAAAAATTTTCAAGCCACTTTCATTATATTGTATTTTAATTAAAATAGAAATAGTTTAAAAGAAAATACCGTCACATGTTTTCTTTTATATGTTTTTTCTCTTTTTAATTTTGTTTTAAGATATCTTTTTATTATAAATAGAGATGGATTATAATGTACAATATAATATAATATGGCGTGATATGTTATATGACACGTAACCGTCGTGAATATGAGGGTAAAGTAAAAATGATTTTCACAGTCTTTTTTTTATATTTATTACTTCTTATACTTATTTTATACTTATACTTATTTTTTTTTACTAATTATTTTCTAAATTTGCTGATAATATGATTTTTTTTATTTAATTAGCATGCATAAATACATTATAAAAACTAGATTTTTAGCACCACTTAAACCTCTTGGGCTTGCGTGTGATACTTTACATTTCGTTCACAAATGTCAATATATTTACATTAATATTCTGCTGTTTTCACAAGCTTGGACAGTAAATACGCTTTCAGTTTAAACTTTATGTTTTTAACAGTGATATTGTTCTATGTAGGCAAATTCGCGGATTTAAGTAAATTTTTATTTGTTATTTTTTTTTTTATATTAAATATTGCTATCACATATATTAATATAATATATATATTAAAATGGAATGGAGTGTTAAAAAAACTTTTGACTTTGTAAATTGGTTAAAATTAACTGTGAAACGTATGTACGAGTATGTGGTGTTAAATTTTATAATCTATCGTTAACCGGATATTTTTGGATTGTTAATCAATAAGCTGGTTAAATTAACCTTTGAACCTTTGATGAAATAACCTAACCATGAATAGAAATGACTCATACTATATGTTAAATACTGATTTATCTCAAATTTGGCAAATGAGTTTCAATGCAACACAAAAATTAAACAAATCCGGTTAATAATTGAATTTTAGATTATATAGATAGAGGCATCAAGTCTCAAAAACGGACCAACATTTTGTCGGCTAATTGTCAAATTAGCTGACTCGTTTTTTTTATCAGTGTTCTATATACACACGCACACAATGTATCTTGACGTATCTATATTTAATTATTTAATAAATAAAATGAGTGTTTACGCATTAAAAAGATGCAAAAATTATAAGACAAAATAAATATAGAAGTTATAAAGGAATCGCTCGTAACTATTTATCACGTAAAATTTTATGAAAAAGTTGTGCCGCTTTTTTCGAAAGCTATTATATGGAGACACTCATACATACATACATACATATCTGTCACGCCTGTCTCCCATTAGGGTAGCGCAGAAACAATGGAACGCCAAATGCTTCGATTCAAACAAACCTCTTTCGCTTCCTCCACATTCATCAATCTTTTCATACACGCTCGCCGGTTACGGGTACTTTTAATTTGTCCCTTCTTCAGCACGTCGCCTATTTGGTCAACATACGTCCGTCTAGGGCGGCCCCTACCGACATCTCCATTCATTCTTGCTCGATAAAATGGAGACACTCTATCTATATAATCTAAGTATTGAATATTGAGTCCCATAAAAAAAAAAAAAACTGCCGTCAATTGTGACAAATTCAGTTATTTTGACTTAAAATAAACCTAAACTAGGCCAATGTTCAATTGAGACGGTACTTTTCAAAGCTGTTTGAGAATTTACTAATATTTCATAAATAATTGGCCATTTGTATGATTTTTGAATGGTGTATACAGTGTAACAGTAACACATACTGCTTTTTTTTACACTTTTATCATGTAAATATTGGCGATGGTATGATAATGGTGTTGATGTTTTCCTGTTAGTGTCCTCTATTGTCCGATTTGAAAGTTTATTGGTATATTTATGAGAAACGGTGTATACGCTATGATTGGAACATTTAATAATAAACGATGTAAATGCCACTATTTAAATATTTTTTTTAAATGGCATTAAATCATTGTGTGAATTTTTTTTTATAAAAAAAAAATGGTGAATGCGCCACCTTTGGAACATTAATGAGAAATGGTGTAAACATCATCTTTGGAACATTAATGAGAAATGATGTAAACATCATCTTTGGAACATTAATGAGAAATGGTGTAAACTTCATCTTTGGAACATTAATGAGAAATGGTGTAAACATCATATTTGGAACATTAATGAGAAACGGTGTGTTGGTGCCATCTATTGAGTAAAATAGATAAAACGTCAACGGAGTGAAGTGAGACTTCAACGGTCTGCTACTGCGGTGATAGACATGAACTTGACTCGCTCGCTCTCTGTAATTAGCAATGATTGATCCTAATAATATTTCGTATAATAAACTCATATTTCACAAAAGTAACAATAAACGAGTTATTGAAGAGTTCCTGCACCCATAAATTTATACACACAAAAAGGAAAGGCGCAAACAAAGTGGTCTTCGTAGCCGAATATCTGAAGAATCAGTGGGAAAACAGTCAGAGCCACCATTCCTTTTGTATCCTTTTATCCTAAGCGAAATTTGTGTTAACAGTGTTTAAACTTCATTAACATTTACAACAGTGTATTTCATCAAGCGATTCCTATTTCCAGACGTAAAGAAAAAAAAAATAAATTTGTTAACCACGTCACGTATACTAAATTATAAGTAGGTACTTCTATCTTTTTTTTATATAAACTTCCGAAATGAGTGACGATGAATTTTCAGACAGTAATCTCGTTGATTTGCATAAACTTAATGATCTCAAAAAGCTTCGGGGTACAGTGAAGGGTAGATTAACATTGTTCGAAAAATATATTAGTAAATATAAATCATTAACGTTAACGAAAATGCAAATCACAGAAATTAGTTTACGAATCGATACAATTACACAATGTTTTAATAACTATTGTGATATTCAAAATCAAATAGACGTACTCGTTGACAAAAAGGAATTAGAAAACCAGTTAGAATATAGAGAATTAATAGAAGAACAGTACTATAGTAATATCGCCGCTGCAAAATGTTTGATAGAGGTGGACAAAAATACTAATTCCAATTGTTCACAGTCCATAATTTCAAAACCTGTAGCTTTAAAGCTACCTGAAATCAAGTTAATGTGCTTCGACGGATCGTACGATTTGTGGTTAGAATTCAGAAATTCTTATATAACTATGATTCATGAACGTACAGACCTTGATGCCATTCAGAAATTACATTATTTAAAATCCTCTCTTAGCGGTTGTGCATTACAAGTAATTAGTGCGTTAGAGTTCACAGCGTCTAACTACAATCATGCTTGGGAACTACTTGAAAACAGATTTCATAATAACCGCTTACTAGTTTATAATCATGTGAGATCACTGTTTTCAGCTTCATCTGTTACAAAGGAGTCACCGTTGCAAATAAGAAAACTAATTGATACGATTTTACGAAATTTACGTGCCCTTCAAACTTTAGGTGAACCGACTGATTCGTGGGATACCTTAGTTATTTATTTAGTTTTAACTAAATTAGACGCAAATACGGAACGAGAATGGGAAAATCATAAAGGTTCGATTTCCAGTGACCCTAATAATAAATTAAAATTAGACGATTTGTTAAACTTTTTGAGAAACAAGGCCGACATGTTAGAGGTTACTCTCGTAAATCATAAGGTACTAGCGAATAAACCTATTCTCGAACGTAAACCAGTACACGATTCTAAAAGATATTCGAATCATTCACAGTTTACACATAGTTACGTTACAACGCGAACAAATAATAGTAAACTGAATAATAAACGCATACGGAACTGTATTATGTGTAGTGAAAACCACGCACTTTATACTTGTATATCCTTTTTAAATTTATCTGTAAAAAATAGAATTAAATTGATAGATGACAAAAAATTATGTCAAAATTGTTTACGTTCTGGGCACACCGTAAACGAATGCATTTTTGGTGCTTGTAAGCGTTGCAATAAGAAACATAATAGTTTAATTCATACGGACGGCGAGGTGGTCGCGAGCGCATTAGCTGATCGTGCGCATTATTCACTACCAGCTGATAACGCGCGAAGGTCATCGACCGCACTTCACTCTCAAACGAATAATACGGGTGATTTAAATACGACTTTATTTCCTATGCAACAAGTTCTGTTATGCACTGCACTTGTTGATATATTCGACGGCAATAAAAGATGTTTTACAATACGTGCACTTCTTGATAATGGAAGTCAACATTCTTTCATTTCAAATCAATTATTTCAACAATTAAACATATCATCTATACAGTCCACTATACGAATTACAGGTGTGGGACAATCACTCACTCAGTCGAATAAAATATGCGAAGTTAATATACGATCGAAGGTAAACGATTATAAAATGCGAGTTCAATGTATGGTTTTGCCGTGCATTACGTCGACCATACCGTCAAAACCAATGGATTATAAATCGTTACGTATTCCGGACAACATTCAACTTGCCGATCCCACCTTTAATGAACCATCTGCAATTGACTTATTAATAGGTGCGGATTTGTTTTGGGATATATTATACGAAAATAGAATTCGGTTGCCGAGTGGACCATTCCTACAGAATTCTAAATTGGGATGGTTAATATCAGGTTCCATTCATTCCGACAGCTCATGTCACGGTAATCCTATTCAGTGCAACTTGTCGCAAGCGATAGATACACAGTTAAAACGATTTTGGGAATTAGAAGAAGTAACTATCACAAATAAATTATTTACGGAAGACGAACATACATGCGAACATTTATTTGATACGACTACTAAACGTAACGCTGATGGTAGATTTTTAGTGCGAATTCCCTTACAACAGTCAGCTGATCATCTCGGTGACTCATATGCACTCGCTAAATCCCGTTTCTTATCGCTAGAACGTAAGTTGGAACGATTACCGTTCTATAAAAAATTATATTATGATTTTATACATGAATATGTTGAATTAGGGCATATGACGAAGGTAGATGAATATAATAAACCGTATTACTTCCTTCCACACCATGGTGTTTTACGTGAGCACAGTACGACAACAAAATTGCGTGTTGTTTTTGATGCTAGTGCTGTGACCACGTCGAACAAATCGCTTAACGATATTCAGTATGTCGGTCCGCCTCTTCAAAACGATATCTTTTCAATACTATTGCGATTTAGACAGTACAAATTTGTAGCTTCCGCCGATGTTGAAAAGATGTTTCGGCAAATCTTAATACAAACGGATCAAAGAAATTTACAACTAATTGTGTGGAGAGAGAATCCTTCAGATCCCCTGTCCATTTACCGGTTAAATACGGTTACATATGGAACTGCGTCAGCGCCGTACTTAAGCATGCGTTGTCTGAAACAATTGGCTATTGAGTGTGGTGATGATATGATTGCTAAGATAATAAACGAAGATTTCTATGTCGATGACCTAATTACCGGTCACGATGATAAGCAGATTTTACTGGAGATATGCAATAAAGTATCGCAAGTGTTATCATCAGGTTGTTTTACACTAAGAAAATGGACATTTAGTCACGATGTAAAAACGAGTAGTTCTAAAGAGTTATGTACGGGCGATCATTGTCAGAATAAAACTCTCGGTATAGGTTGGTACAACACTAGCGACGAGTTACATTTCACTACCGCAATCACTGAGTCACACGTAGTCACAAAGCGAACTATTTTATCTATTTTATCGCAGATCTATGATCCACTTGGTCTTTTGACACCGGTCATTATTATTGCAAAAATATTATTACAACACCTATGGTTGTGTAAAATTCATTGGGATGACACGGTTCCAGAAAATATAAAATTAAATTGGGAAAAATTCATTAATTCATTAAAATCTTTACACGAATTAAGAATTCCGCGTTATATAATGAGTGATAATAACGAAATAAAGGAATTACATATATTCACGGATGCATCTCAGAATGCATACGGTGCATGCGCATATATTCGTACTTATAATAAGAACATAAATTCCCCAGTAACAATTAAATTATTATGCGCCAAAAGTAAAGTATCACCTATTAAACCTGTCACCATCCCGAGACTGGAGCTATGCGGCGCATTGTTAGGTGCCAGATTATACAAAAAAATCGTGTCCTCACTTAGACTTAAATTCGATAAGGTCTATTTTTGGACAGATTCGACTATAGTTATGGGATGGGTTCGTATGTCACCACATTTGTTGAAAACGTTCGTACAACATCGTGTAACTGAAATAAATGAGTTAACGGGTGATGCAATTTGGTTGCATGTTAATGGCAAAAATAATCCGGCCGATCTCGCGTCTAGGGGTGCCTATCTCGATATACTTGTTGACTGTACATTGTGGTGGCACGGTCCTACATTTTTACACGGTCGGCAATTTAATTGTAAAGTTGACCATAGTACTTATACTTCTATAGAGCTACCAGAAGTAAAAAATGAAATTGTATGTGCTGCTTCAAACATAAAAGATAGTTTTATCAACTTTTCACGATTCTCTTCGTTCGAACGTTTGAAACGTACTGGTGCTTATGTGTTGCGATTCATAACTAACATACGGTCGCCCAAGCACCTGCGTACAACTGGTTCGTTGTCGGTGGATGAGTTAAGCGCATCAATAACAATGCTAGCTCGACTTGAGCAAATACAATCATTTCCGGATGAATACGACAGCTTACTAAAACAATTACCATTAAATCAAACCAAATCGAATAAAGTGTCCGGTCTCAACATATTTCTAGATCAAAGTGGCCTAATTAGAGTTGGTGGCAGATTGCGTAACTCACGTCACTTCGATTATAATAAAAAACACCCAATATTAATTTCAAGTAAAAATTATTTTAGTACACTTTTGTTTAGAGATGAACATAAAAGGTTACTACATGCGGGACCCCAATTACTTTTATCTACAATTCGAGAAAATTGGTGGCCACTCGCGGGTCGAAACCTAGCTAGGAAAGTTGTACGGCAATGCGTTACATGTGTACGCATGAGAGGGAAAACCTTAACGCCAATAATGGGCGACTTACCGTCTGAACGTTTAGAACCAGGTTACCCTTTCATGCGTTGTGGCGTCGACTATGCCGGACCGGTGATGATACTGAATCGCAGAGGACGAGGTGCTGCACTTATGAAAGGTTATATCTGTATATTTGTGTGTTTTACCACTCGTGCTATACATTTGGAATTAGTATCTAGTCTTTCTACAAATGATTATTTACTCGCTTTAAAACGTTTTATTTCTCGTCGCGGTAAGCCGATAGAAATATTTAGTGACAATGGAAAAGTTTTTGTGGGTTCACAGAAAGAATTGTCATTATTTCTAAATGAAAATGCTACTCAAATCGAAGATTTCACTACAAACAATGGTATTAAATTGCGATTCATTCCGCCGTATGCTCCTCATTTCGGTGGTTTATGGGAGATAGGGGTCCGCTTTTGTAAGCACCATATTAGACGAGTTGTTGGCAATAGTAACTTAACCTTTGAAGAATTTACGACTGTCCTAACACAGATAGAAGCTATCCTAAATTCTCGTCCTATGTACCCATTGTCCTCGGATCCTAATGATTTCCTTCCCCTTACTCCTTCACATTTTCTTATCGGGCGGCCTCTGACCGCGCTTCCTTGCAAAGACCTGACGTCTACTGCAACTCATCGCCTGATGCGATATGACCGTATAGAGCAAATGAGGCAACATTTCTGGCAACGCTGGTCTAAGGAGTACGTATCGGAGCTTCAAACCAGAACGAAGTGGAAGGTACAGCAGCCAGATATCGGCCAAGACACATTAGTTCTCATCAAAGAAGATAACCTACCACCACTAAAATGGCGGATGGGTCGAATTCTGCGCACTTTTCCAGGCAAGGATGGAGTATCCCGAGTGGCAGAGATTCGCACTGCAACTGGTATCATACAACGTGCCACTTCCAAAATATGTCCGCTTCCACCTCAGCCATCAGATGCAGAATGAAAGGAGGAGAAAGACGATCCTGTCTATGTTGAAATCTGTATACCTGCAGCTTTCAAAGGCGGGGCCATGTTGGTGCCATCTATTGAGTAAAATAGATAAAACGTCAACGGAGTGAAGTGAGACTTCAACGGTCTGCTACTGCGGTGATAGACATGAACTTGACTCGCTCGCTCTCTGTAATTAGCAATGATTGATCCTAATAATATTTCGTATAATAAACTCATATTTCACAAAAGTAACAATAAACGAGTTATTGAAGAGTTCCTGCACCCATAAATTTATACACACAAAAAGGAAAGGCGCAAACACGGTGTTAACACCATCTTTGGAACATTAATGAGAAATGGTGTAAACATCATATTTGGAACGTTAATGAGAAACGGTGTTAATACCATCTTTAGAACATTAATGAGTAATGGTATAAATATCATATTTGGAACATTAATGAGAAATGGTGTTAACACCATCTTTAGAAAATTAATGAGTAATGGTATAAATATCATATTTGGAACATTAATGAGAAATGGTGTTAACACCATCTTTAGAAAATTAATGAGTAATGGTATAAATATCATATTTGGAACATTAATGAGAAATGATGTAAACACCTATGTTGATTAAACAGTGACGTGTTTGTTTTATATTGTGAAAAAGATTTATTATTGTTATTGTATTAATTAAAAATTAATAATAAAAGAGCTACTTTTACTGAGCGAACCGTATGCTTAATATTCGCTCATGATAAATAAAAATAATGTAATATTAATTATATGAAATTTTCCAAATTTTTCCTACAGACTACAGTATGGGGTTCTTCAAAAAGGGTACATTTCCTTTAGACACCCCTAGTGTTGCAAGTGGTCATAGGCTACAGTGACCGTTTACCATCAGACGGGCTGTATGCTTGTTTGCCACCTTTGATATATAAAAGTAAAGATATTCTCAAGTCAAACCGTGACTTTTTTTATATAGTTCATTTTATACTGTAGTCTCTAGGGAAACCTCAGCAGGTAGCTCCTTCCACAGCCCGAGCGTTCGCGAGGGAAAAATTCCTTCGAAACCGCACTGTACGTAACTGTTTAGGTTCTTTATATCCAAATTAATTCACTACACCGTTTGGGATAGCTCAATTGTTTTTTTAAATTATATTAATTTAAATTAATTAAATATTCTTATTGTTAAAATTATTAATTAAATTAATTTTATATAATTATTTATATAATTAATTAATTATATTTAATTTTTAATTAATACGTGGTGTTATCTATGTCTCGGAATTCATGTAAGGAAATTGTGGAATAAGTTTGTAATGCTGCCGTCATATCAGCGGAATGATTGTGTCGTTGTGTGACCTTAAAATTGTTTTCAGCAATAAGGCAACCTTATTATAACCTTATAACAACCTGATACAAATTGTTTGTATGTGAGATACTATTATTTTATTCTGTTAGTCATTAATTGTCCACAGGTGAACATATCCTCCTCCATAAGGGAGGTTTTGCCAGTACTTGCCACACTTGACAGGCGGGTTGGTAACCGCAGTTAGACTTTGGTGATGTTTTAAAGTTGGCAATATTATTATAATAATTAAAATGAAAAGAGAAGAAATAAATCAATATTAAACGAAGCATAATTTCACTATAAAAGTATGAAATTTGATATGTTATAAATGGGGTGAATTTATGCGAGTGGCTACATTTTGCCCTATACAGGTTTACTAATATTTTGTAAAACCTACTGATTTGTTATGTTATATATATATATATATATATATATATATATATATATATATATATATATATATATATATATATATATATTATAACAAATATATAAAAAAATATAATCTATCTATTACATATACACCACAAGTCCTTAAAAATTTTTAATAATTTAATTTAATTATTTAAAGAAAAAAATTTCTTTGACATCACTGCCAGCTGGTAGGGTACCTAGGTGACTTGCTGCATTTCCACGCTGAATAGCTATGGAAATGCGTATAGATATTTTTGGAGCGGTAAAGAGACTCGAATTGTCATCCGCCGGTGTGTCAGCAGCATATTCCGTTTTGTTTGTATGTTTGTTGATATAGTGTTGTGACTGTATATATCAGAATTTATTTAATAAAACATAAAAAAAATACATAAATATTTGTAGTTTTATTATTATTATTTTCCTTACTAATATTATAATAATAAAAGATTGTGTTTAACGAAAAAATACGACTTCAATTGTGATAAAACCTAAATTAAAAATTAAATTAAAATTGTGATAAAAATTACGATCTAAAAAATGAAATTACTGTATCGATTTTGATAGAATTTCTATGAGACCAATTTGTAAGTAAATAATTTATAAGTATTATCTGAAAAGATATTATCAATTTCAGATACCAAAAAATCCAAATCTGTTTAGAACTGTGATATGAGGTAACCTAACAAAAAAAAAATACAACCGATTTGAGAACCTCCTTTTTGAAGTCGGTTGATAAATGTAAAAGTGTGTTTGTTTGTTGTGGCAATAAGTATATAGATAGCATAGAACGGGTCACCTTTTCCTTTCCCGTGGGTGTCGTAAGAGGCGACTAAGGGAGCGCGAGGGATGGACAGCATCGTCTCTTAAAACATCTCCAAAGCCTAACTGCGGTTGCCAATCCGCCTGCCAAGCGTGGCAACTACTGGCCAAAATATCTAAGGGTGAGACTTCAGCAGTGGACAGTTAAAAGGTAATAAAATGACGATGAAAATTATAATAATAAAATACAAAAAAAAAAAAACAAAATAGAATATATAAAAATATATATAGATAGATACTCTTTATTGTTACCTCCATAAGATTACAATAGTAAACTTATTATAGATACAAACAATTACAAGAAATGATCACAGTGAGACAACAATGGGCGACCTTATCGCTAAGAGCGATCTCTTGCAGCCAACCTTTGGATGGAGAGGAGTAATTATAAACAGTATTTTAATTGAATAATCGATTTATTTGATGCAATTTTCCACTCAGCCATTTTGTTGGCTTCACGTATTTCTGGAACGGTTCAATGAGATCCTGTAACAAAAAAAGAATAAATAAATAAATAATAATAAAAAATTTTAATTAAATACGGAAATTGAATAAGGAACTAGGAATAACTAAATTAAAAAAAAAATCATAATCTTCAACTCAGCGGGGTCAATGATTTTTAACTTAAATTTTAAAATTTTTTTTTATTCGTATATATTTTGGTGAGTTTTTTTTATACAACTTAGAATAGCAAACAAGCTGACGGCCCACCTGATGGAAAGTGGTAACCGTCGCCTATAGACATGAGCAGTACCGCCCATGGTACTGCTCATAACTGAGAACATGCGTTGCCATTCCTGAGGACTCAGGTGTTATTCCTCTGTACCCTGTAATTGCACTGCCATATCCCACCCGTCAAACCGAAACACAGCCATGCAAACACAACTGCTTCACGGTTAAAACACGAATGGGACAGAGGTACTCAAGCAATCGACTTTTGTACAAGGTCTCCCTCTGGTACAAATTTACAAATGCACTCACCAAAAACCAAGAATAAAACATTAATTATAGTAATACAATAATGATAATAATAAATTTTTCTTTAAAAAATTTTTTTATTATACTTAAAAAAAAAAAAAGAATAAAACAAAAAATGCAACTGCGTAATTTATTACCGCCTTACGTAACTATGTGGCAGTAAGGTGAAAAAATCCAGTTCTGAACTCGCTACTATCTCATTGAGCAGACGTAGTTCCCTCGTGAGTAACGCCTGGTCAGTATGGGATGTCCTGAATTATCCTTAGGCCTCTAATAACCCAGCAATTATTCGACATATTGACGTTGATTTATCAAACCCTAAAATGATTTGAAACTGACGTCTTATTTGAGTAGCAGCTTGCTACCTGCGTAAACTAGAATACGTTTTTTTTATGCTACTTAGAATGGCAAACAAGCTGACGGTCCACCTGGTGGCAAGTGGTAACCGTAACAGAGTATACTGTTTAGCCCATGATACCCTCCATGCGTTGCCATTCCTGAGGACTCAGGTGTTATTCCTCTGTACCCAGCAAATTCACGTCATATCCCACCCTTCAAACCGAAACATAGCCATGCAAACACAGCTGCTTCACGGTTGAAACACGAATGGGACAGAGGTACACAAGCAATCGACTTTTGTACAAAGTCTCCCTCTGGTAAATTAATTGGTAAATACGTGTTTCATTAACCACAATTTGCGGCCAAAGTCACGGGCTAAATGTTGTGTTGGCTAAAATTAGAAACACTGCATCCCCTTTCACGCCGCTTCGGTCAAAGCTACCCACATCAAGTACAGACAAACAAACATTATGCAAAAAAAAAAAAAATAGGTCAGTAAGATATTTTTAAACGTTTTGTCCAACCATCCCCTTGCAGAGGGCTTTTCTACCCCAGTTATTTCGGTTGTAAGGGGTAACTGCGGCAAGTTTTTATTTAATAGGGGATTTACTGTAATGTGGTTCACTTAGACACGGCTGTGGGGTAAAACATTTTTACATTAGGACCGTCCATAACTTGAGTTTACCGACATGCTATAATGTCGAAATTTTTTTTTTTTTTTATACAACTTAGAATAGCAAACAAGCTGCTTCACGGTTGAAACACGAATGGGACAGAGGTACCCAAGCAATCGACTTTTGTACAAAGTCTCCCTCTGGTATATATATCTTAATTTTCAATGTTTTTGTCAATGATTATTTAAAAAGTGCTCCGCTAAGGGACTAAAATTAGTGCTGGATAATATATATCAATACCAGAGGAAGACTTTGCACAAAAGTCGATTGCTTGGGTACCTCTGTCCCATTCGTGTTTCAACCGTAAAGCAGTTGTGCTTGCATGGCTGTGTTTCGGTTTGAAGGGTGTCATATGGTGTGAATTTACTGGGTACAGAGGAATAACAACCGAGTCCTCAGGAATGGCAACGCATGGGGGGTATCATGGGCGAAACAGTATACTCTGTTATGTCCATGCTACTGCTCATGTCTATAGGCGACGGTTACCACTTTCCATCAGGTGGGCCGTCAGCTTGTTTGCCATTCTAAGTTGTACGAGTATAAAAAAATACTAGATTACTCGATTTGCTATGGTACTACCTCAAAATCTTTCTTCTCTGATCCACTCCCGGCGTCTAGCAGTTTTAGTATGTTCCATTTCGGCTGTGGCTCTTTGTAGTCCTCATCACCATCACCATAGGCTTCATCACCGCGGTACTCGGCCTGCTTCTGTATCACTATGCATCTGAAAGGTATTAAAATTTTATTTTCCATGTTAGACAACATTATCCAGTCGCCATGTGTAGCGTCCCGGCTTAGCATGGGCCAAACCTTCCTTTTCCGTGGGTGTCGTAATAGGCGAGAGGAGTGTCCCTCTTAAAAATCACTAAAGACTAACTGCGGCTGCTGGGGGAAAGGGATTGTTAGTAATGGTGACTGAGAATCCCATTGCTATCAATATACCCAACCAGGTCGACCTCCTCGCGGTTCCCCCTGGAAACTGTCATGGTTAATTCCTGATGAATTCATCATGATGGGCTAACTGGCTTGTTTTCATTCTCATCTATCACCCTTCACTGGTGCTCCGCCAGCGCATCCCGTTAGCGCAGGTGGGGTTACCATACCATTTTCAACCATAAAAAAAAACCCGCGGTTGCTAATCCACCTGTCAAGCGTGACAACTACTGCCAAAACTCTATTTATAACTACGACTAACTGACCTGCCTTTTCATCCTCACCTATCATTCTTCACTGGTGCCCCGCCGGTGTATACCGATAGCGCGGGTGGGGTTACCATTCCATTATCACCCATTAAAAAAAATCTCCACCATTCGGACGAAGTTAAGGTAAGAGTCAATAATATTATAAATGAGAAATTGAGCTTGTTTGTTTGTTACCTCTTAGCGTCTTTTTTTAATGGTAATGGTATGGTAACCCCGCCTGCGCTATCAGTATACGCTGGCGGGGCACCAGTGAAGGATGATAGGTGAGGATGAAAAGGCTGTCAGTTAGTCCATCGTGACGAATTCAACGATAAATTAATCATGATAGTTTCTATGGGAACCGCGTGGAGGTCGACCTGATAGGGTATACTGATAGCGGTAAGGACTAACCTGCCCCCCTATCTACTTTACTAACAATCCCTCCTTCCCCCTTACGTCATCTGTTGTAACGGACCAACCAATTACTATGAAATTTGCTGTACACGTACTATATGGGATTGGCATAGGTTATTTAAATTTTGTGTCCCTTCTATCCCATAAAGTAAGTTAAATTGGTCAAACACTGAACCGTTCAGGTCAAGCAGACGAAGTCGCGGATAAAAGTTAGTGGTAAATAAAAAAAAATACCTTTTTTGTCTCTCCGATTGCTGTTCTACGGCCTCTGTAAAATAACATATTTTTAAGATAAATAGAATATATATATATATATATATATATATATATTAATAAAAAATAAAGGAAAATTTTTCAAATTATTTATTATGTATTATGTCGTCTTATTTTTTTATTTAAATATTACTTTATTTCATTAAAATAATTTAAATTAATTTATAAATGCTTTATTTTATTAAATTAATTTACATTATTTTATTTTATTTTATTTACTTTATTACTTGTTTATTTTACTAATTATTATATTAATTTATAATATTTCATATTAGTAAACTAATATAATATACGAGTACATATATTTTTTACTACCAACTTAAATGAATTTTAATGAAAGTTAATGAAAATGTAACCGCGTCCCGTTGTAACCACCCCGGGAGCACTGTCCGAGTGTAATCAGTGACGGGTCGAGACGTCCAGTCGATCGGTCGCCGTTTGATTTATACTTGTATTACTATTGGATATTAATATATTTTTTTACAGTCGGGTAAATTGTTTGTTGCTTATTTTTAAATTCTATTGAAATAAATTATATCTTGGCCACAACAGAATATCGGTGTTCTTCTCTTTTGTGGACAAAGCAACAAAATGAGTTGCGGCCATTTTGTGTTACTGTGGCACACGCATGAAGGAAAAGCATGAAAGAAAATTGTTTTATTTATATTTAATTTTATTTATTTATTCTTTATTGCACAGTAAAATTTTGTACAAATGGCGAGCTTAATGCCATATGGCATTCTCTACCAGCTAACCATTGGGTAAAAACAGAAAGCGTATGAAGGGCAGACGTGGTAAAAAATATATGACATAATTTTACGCATTTTGCTTTTTTTCTATATATCGTCACAGTCGTAGAATACTGACGGATCTGACGAAGAATACATATAAAGATCCGTCAGTATTCTACGACTATGACGATATGCATTCTTTTATCTCTTTTTACTGTGCACGTCTGTTGTTATTTATGTAAGATAAGATAGGATATATTTATTTAACAAAGTATGTTTGTATTAGCACAGAATTTATCATTGCCTCCTACACTAGGCTGAGCCTGTCCTGTAGGAAGCAGTACTCGTGTTTGCATATACATGCATATAGATATTAGACATAGGCTTTTTAGCAGTACTCACAATTGTGTAACTAATCTGTATAATACAATTATTTTATTTTATTTATTTATTTTTTCTTTCTCTCACCACCAATACACATGTATAAATAAGTATTAAGAATGAGTGTGTGTGTATGCGTGTCTGTGTGGTGTATGTGGTGTGTGTCTGTGTTGTGTGTGTATGTATGTGTGTGTGTGTGTGTGTGTGTGTGTGTGCTGTGCTGTAAGTAACTAACTGTTTAACTTCATTAGAGGGTAAATCTGATATATAATAAAATAGGACGATTCGAATCGATTCCTGCTGCTGGTTTTCACCACCGTACAACCCGCCATAAACTAAAGTTCCATCCCAATTATCTGGACGAGTGGCGGTCCTCCACCGTGCGTTTTTCAAGGCACTTTCTTCCACGCACAACCACTCTTTGGAATCAACTTCCAGCAGCAGTATTTCCGAACCGATACGACAACATAACCTTCAAGAAAAGAGTATATTCCTTTTTAAAAGGCCGGCAGCACACCTGCAATGTCGTTGGTGTTGATCATGGGCGGTGGTCACTTACCATCAGGTGAGCCGCATGCTCGTTTGCTTCCTGTGTTATATAAAAAAAAAGTACGTTATACCAAAATGTATTAAATTCAATCTTGTTTTAATTTGTCTAAACATTTAATTGTCTTATTGTTTTTACTATTGTTTTTTTTTATAATTATTTCTTTAGTTGTTGGTTTTTCCTTAATTACAATAATAAATTGCATATAATAAAACCGTAACTGGTCGCTGTCTGTACATAGAAGATATTGATTTATTTATTTATTTATAGCAAGGCAACAGATTACAAATTACAATACATTTATAAAATAAATATTACATAAAACAGCATCAAATTTGCACTCCGGCAACTGCTCTGCATTACATTCGATATTAGAAACATTAAAAGAATGACGGCTATAAATTTAAAGTAACAAATTGCCAGCCTTAATGTAACATTGCAAGGATCGTTGGAAGATATCAAGCTCCTTGCATACATTGTTTGTTATATTTTCTGCACATGCGGACAATTGGGATTGTGATACGATACATTATTATTACAAATCGGTATATAAAATAATTTTTGTATTCTTTTATTACCTGTACGAAATGAAACAAGGCTCAGCAATGTGCTACTGTCCCATTTATAATTTATTATTTTATAAAAAGTAATAACATAATATAAATAATATATAAGAAAAACTATTACAGGGAGGCTTTATGAACGTAATAGAACACAAAAGAATGATTTTTAGAATTTTCGTCTGTTTATTTGTACGTTTGTGCACGCTAATCTCAGAAACGGCTTGACCGATTCGAATGAGGTTGCTACTAATGTGTTACGGTTTTCTCCACTTAACATTTAGTGTTTGTTTTATTTCAATCGGTTCATAAATAAAAAAGTTATATCAATCTAAAGAGTCACATATAAAATGCTATAAAATAACCAATCAGTTGAATTGGCTGAAACTTTATGAAGGTATTAGGTATGTAATTATCATTTAAGTATATAATACAATATAAGACCGGATTCATGAAGAGTTCCAATGGGAATAATATACGGGAACTACATAGAAGTGGGCAACGCCGCGGGAAACGGCTAGTAAAAAATAAAATGAATTAATCACCAAAAAAATGACCAGAGGGAAGCTTTGTACAAAAATCGTTTGCTTAGATACTTCTGTCCCATTCGTGTTTCAACCGTGAAGCAGTTGTGTTTGCATGGCTGTGTTTCGGTTTGAAAGGTAGGATATAGTAGTAAATTTACAGGATACAGAGGAATAACACCTGAGTCCTCAGGAATGACAACGCATGGGTATCGGTACTGCTCAAGTCTATAGGCGACGGTTACCACTTTTCATCAGGTAGCCGTCAGCTTGTTCGCCATTTTAAGTTGTATAAATAAAAATGAAATAAATAAATACCTATTAAACAAGCGTATATCACAAATGTGAACAACACTAACTGATGCGCCATGTTCTACGAAATGGACAATAATTCTACCATTTTTACTAAGCACCTACTTTAGTATTTATAACGTAATATTGCCCGCATACAACGCTAATGTTTTAATGTGGGTCCAATTATCTTTGCTACACAAGACAATTATCTTTGGTAAAATATAAATTACTTTAAATAAACAATTTAAAAGTACAATGTAAGAGTTTGTTAGTTACTTCTTAGCGTCTTTTTTTTAATGGATGATAATGAAATGGTAACCCCGCGGGACTTCGCCTGCGCTAGGTATAATGGTAACATCACCAAAACCTAACTGCGGTTGCCAACCTGCTTGTTAAACGTGGCAACTACTGGAAAAAGTCCCCTTCTTAGGAAGGTTTATGGTCAGCAGTGGACAGTTAACGGCTGATATGGTTTGATGATGATTCAGAGCCGTAGCTAGACCCAAATTTAAGGTAGGGCAAGAACTTTTTGGTAGGGCAGAAGCCAAATTAAGTGACTTCGGAAAAACGAATCTGTTGTATTTTCTTGGCGCTTTTTATTTTAAGATAGGACATTAGGCATTTTAAGGTAGGGCATTGGGCATTTTATGTAGGGCATTGGGCATTTTATGTAGGGCATTGGGCATTTTAAGGTAGGGCATTGGGCATTTTAAGGTAGGATATTGGGCATTTAAAGGTAGGGCATCAGGCATTTTAAGGTAGGGCATTGGGCCTTTTAAGGTATGGCATTGCCCAATGCCCTCCCCTCCTAGCTATGACCATGTGATGACTAAATTACTGTAGGAATAGATTAAATTATAAATAAAATAAATGGATTGAATATAAAAAAATATATTTATTATAGACGGTACATTCATGTTTAATATTGTAAATTTATTTCCTATAAATAAATTAAACACAATCACTGTCTCATTTTACAATAACACGAGTTATTACAATTTACAATTTTAGTATGATATGTATCATAATTTTTAAATCTGGAATATTTTTTATTTTTGATTGCAAATTTTAAAATGTTGACTCAAACATTGGAACAATCATTGAGCCAAATATTATATTGGATGTTAGACAAACATTTATACATTATACAGATGAACATAGAAATTCTGATGAGATTAGGATTAGGACTATTATAGGATTAGAATTAAGGAATAATTGAAACAAAACTTACTGTTGTTCGTCACAGAGAAAGGTAATATAAAATTTTAACGCTTCGAATTTGGATCCATTATTTGATCTAATGTTTGGACAAATATTTAATCCAATGCTTGTATATATTTGATACAATATTCTTTATATATTTGATGTAAAATTATGATCATTGTTGGATGGAATATTCCAGTTCGTAAATTATTGTGATGCACAATTATTAATAAATCGTATTATTGTAAAATTAATGTAAATATTTGTTGTTTGTATTATTTTTCGTCAACATTTTTATTATATACGTACATTATAATACTTGATACGTGTTAGGTGGTTCTTATAGAATTATAGAACCATACATTTGGTCTTGGTTATATATTCTGCCCAGTGTATCTACCAAATTTTGGGCGGTTCTAAGTTATGCCCGGTGCATTCTTTGCAGACTGACAAATGCTATGTATAGACTTTAGGCAGTAGTATGATCATCTTTAAGTATTTAACATACATTTAAATCACTATCTAACTACACTTTCAATATTAATTCGGTTAAATATTTAGTCTTTTGAACCAACATTTGATCCAACATTGAACTGACATTTGAATCAATGTTGAACCAATATTTGTATCAATGTTTGAACAAATATTTAACCCGAATGTCTATACCAATTTTTGATCAAATGATTGACTGTATTTCTTACAATATATTTTTTTATATTTGACACAAGTAAATAATTGTGGTATCCAATTGTAATTTTTAATAAAAAAAACTTTTTAATGCAAAACTTATTTAATAAATTGTCATTTGTAATATTTCTCGTCAATATTGTAATTATATACATAATAATACTTGTCACATCTCGGATAGTTCTTACAGAATTATAGCGCCGTGCGTTTGGTCTTGGTTATATGTTTTGCCCAGTGTCATCTAGCAAACCTTGGGCGGTTCTAAGTTGTGCCCGGTGCATTCCCCGCAGACGGACGTCATGTACGCGCTCGGCAGGAGTATGACCGTCTCCAAATACTTGACATACACCTCTACATCCGTATCGATAGCTGTTATTTTAATTGTATTGTCGTTTTGTTGAATACTGTAGATGGAAAAAATAAATAAATAAAGTAAACCGTTGTATAAAATAATAAAAATATTAAACATTTACTTAAAAATCTTTAATTCACTTATACATTTTTAATGGTGATTAAATTAGTTTGGGATAAACATTGAATAAATTTCTTGTTCTTTGGCAAAGAGTCATCAAAATCGGTTCAATATTGCGTAACATAAACCAGATAAAGTTTTAAATATTATGGTTCTATTCGGGATTCGATCCCACGATTTTCAAGATCATAAATTAATATGGAAACAAGTGAGTCTCTGACCTTGACCTTCAAGGTCAAAATGTTTATAAGAAAGAAAAAAAGTTCTATGATGTTGAAAGCCATTATTTTAACCCGAAATTAACTAAATTTTATACGTTAAAGGTCGTCAACATGTTTCGAAAAGAAAAATTTATTTTTACCTTAAAGGTCATTTAAAAAAAAGTTTATTTGTAATCTCGAAAATTACAAATGTGGTGTGAAAAATATTATTTTTTTCGAATTAAGAATACTGAATACTAATTTGATATAACAGCGACAAAGTTTTTTTTGTTTCGAAGGTTTACTGACCTTGACTTGAAGTTTGTAAGTATGTAACGTCAAGGTCGTGACCTTTAAGGTCCTTACATAAATTACACATAAAAATTATACAAGAGTGACTTACTGAAACTTATTCGCTCCGTGCTTATCGTGCACCGTCCCAGGATCGTACCCGGGACCCTCGCGCCTCACCTCCACGTAGTGCCCGCCTGAGTATACAACCAACGAACCATGGGAACGGCGTATTACTGCAAACCTGTAAGAACAGGGGGGAAGGGATTGTTAGTAATGGGGCCCCACTGCCAGCTTGCTAGTGATACACACTATCAGGTCGACCTCCACGCGGATTTCTCTGGAAACCATCTTTTTTTTAAACCACTGAGGTGGCAAATAAGCATACGGCCCACCTGATAGTGAGCGGTTACCGTAACCTATGAACGCCTGCAATACCAGAGGTATTACGCGCGCGATACCGACCCTGAAGAAACCTCTTTACCCCCCTTTTGAAGAACCCCATGCTGTAGTCTCTTCGGGAAACCTCGGCAGGGAGCTCATACCATAACTTGAGTGTTCGTGGGAGAAAACATCTCTGAAACCGCGTTGTACGCGACCATTTAGGCTGTAGGGTATGAGGGTGAAGTCTCTGTCGATGGTTAATTTTAGTGGAATTCGTCAGGATGTGCCAACTGACCTGCTTTCATCCTCACCTATCATCCCTCACTGGTGCCCCGCCAGTGTATACCGATAGCGCGGGCAGGGTCATCATTTCATTATCACCCATTAAAAGAACCTGTAAGAACTGGGGGAGAAGGGTTTGTTAGTAATGCGATCTACCAGTCCCATTGCTAGCAATATACCCTGTCAGGTCGACCTCCACGTGGTCCCTTCTAGAAACCATCGTGCTGAATTCCAGATGTGTTCATCACGACGGGCTAACTGACCTGCTTTCATCTTCACCTATCATCTCTCACTGGTGCCCCGCCAACGTATACCATTAGCGCAGGCGAGGTTTTTTTTATGGATGATAATGAAACGGCAACCCCACCCGCGCTATCGGTTTACACTGGTGGGGCACCAGTGAAAGATGATAGGTGGGGATGAAGCAGGTCAGTTAGCCCATCAAGACGAATTCAACAAGAAATGTTCACGATGGTTTCCAGGGGGAACCACGTGGAGGTTGACCTAATAAGGCATATTGCTAGCAATGGGACTGTCAAACTCCATTGCTAACAACCCCTTTCCCCCGCGCAGGCAGGGTTACCATTCCATTATCATCCATTAAATAAACTAACCTCGGTCTTGTGGAACAATCTGCTAAGACAACGCTCCGTTCACATTTCATCGGAGCCAACTGTACCACAGTGCTGTCCAAGGTCTGAACAATGCCTTCTTGGAGACGGCATTCCTCTGAAAATAAAAATATATTTATATAAAGAATAATTTAAGTTAAAAAAAAATTACATATTTTGTAACGCAATTATAATTTTAAACGCATACACGATCGCATCTTTAAGTGAAAGAGAGGGACAGTGTGCGAGAGAGAGGGATGTATGTATTACTTAAGAACAAGGAGTTGCATAGAAGGAATGATAAAAAAAAATGTGAATCATATGGTTGCCTCCTTTTATGAATTTATATCAGGCTAGTGTTTAGTGAAAATGTTTGATATGTCAATTATTTGTCAATGTCAAATTTTACATTACTAGATTATATATTCGACACAGTTTATGTAGAAAGTATGCAAGCAGGTTGTATCTGAATTTGATAGGGTTATACGGCCTTATAACATTTATTATACACTGGCCTGCTATGAATTGACAATTTTATCACTCCTTCTATGTAATTCCTTGTTCTTAGTACAGTCCTTTTACCTTTCTGCTGTATCATTGTATTGCGGAGGACATTACGATTTAGAAAAATGAACTAAAAAGACGAATATTTGTAAAGAGGAAAAATAAAAGTTCTATTTAAAAAAGTTCATTTACGGAAAATATCAATCCCACATTATATTTTTATTATTATTATTCGATTTCCATCTTGCAATCCTATTGCGGCATATAAAAATCACGTTAAAAAAATAGGGGTTGATCGTAAAAAAGTGAAAATTTGAAATTGTATGTATTTTTCAATGTTAAATCATAATAAAATAAAAATTAAAAAAAATGTTAAAACATAAAAAAAAATATTTAGGGTCACCCTTATCATCGAGGGGTATGAAAAGTAGATGTTGGCCGATTCTCAGTACTACCCAATATACACACAAAATTTCATAAAAATCGGTAAAGCCATTTCGGAGGAGTTTGGTAATAAACACCGTGACACGAGAATTTTATATATTAGATATATAATACTAGATGAGGTAGTCAGAGGTATATGTCGATGTTCCTGTTGTGGTAATATTCAACACGCCCACGTTACGCCGAGCGTATTAGGATCCAATGTTGCTGGGGACGAGCCTACCGCAGTCATTCAAATTTGGTTAATTTTAAACCGAGTTAATTTATAACAGACTGTACTCTGTACTGTATCATCAACATCACCACTGTTATCATCACCATATCAGCCGTTACCTGTCCACTGCTGAACATAAGCCTCCCTCATAGACTAGCACAAGGAACAGGGCATTGGCATTGCAGGGATTTTGCCAGTAGTCGCCACGCTTGGCAACCGCAGTGTAGTTATGAGGGACGCTGCTGCTGCTCCTCCATAATTAACCATGGTAAGGTATGTCCCCCTATAATTAATCGTGGGTATACCTTATACTCCACTCAGCCGTTATCCTTATATTTTTTGTAATAATAACTCAGGTCATATAGGGAATTTTGAAAAAAAAATTATCACAAGCCACTTGCCACTTGGAAATTTAAAAAATAGGTATGAGAAAAAAAAATTCGAATATAAAACACTGGCCAGTTGTAATATGTTTCAAAAAAGAATTATTCACGGGTAAAAACTCCGAACGTTCCATTTTCAAATTTCCCTCCAATTTGTCGCCGGTAACAGTTGGCGGGGACATGGATAAATAACTCACGTAATAGTTTTCATTACATAAAGTTACATTTATCTTTTTTTATGCAATTCAGTATGGCAAACAAGCTGACGGCCCACCTGATGGAAAGTGGTACCTGTCGCCTATAGACATGAGCAGTACCGTGGACATAACAGAGTATACTGTTTCGCCCATGATAACTTCCATGTGTTGCTATTCCTGAGGACTCAGGTGTTATTCCTCTGTACCCTGTAAATTCGTAAATATTAAGGATTCACATGTGAAACCCCGAGACATGGTTAGTTAATTAAGAAAACTTACTGTATAGTCCAAGTTTCTTTAGCACCTGCTTGTTGGTCCAACTGTCCAAGTACCAGCCTAAGTCCGGAGACTTGAACTTTATTTCTGAGGCGTTGTTCACCCTCAGGGTCGCTAGACCGTCTTCCTCCTGATTATTTAGAAATATTCCTTCATTATCACATTAACTGTGCACCGTTGGACATAGGCGGAGGCCTAATGGCAATTCCAAACCAAAGACTCCTCTTTGGGTGGTATTGCCAGTAATTGCCACGCTTGGCGGGCGGATTGGCAATCGCAGTTAGGCTTTGGAGATGTTTTAATAGAGATGCTGCCCAATCCTCGACCGTTAAACTCCTTTAGTCGCCTCTTACGATACCCACGGGAAAGGAAGGGGCGGTCCATTCTATGCCGGGACCACACGGCGGAATTATCAATTTAGATTAAGACTTTAAGATTATGTTACACAAAAACCGACTTCAATTCAAGAAAGTTTTGATTAAAAAAAAAACTGAATTACTAAAAACAATTTGATGAAATTTCCATGGAATCAATCAACCTGTAAGTATAATATCCTTTCAGAAAAAACAAGAATTTTCCAAATCGGTTTACAACTGACGGAGTTATGAGGTAACATAAATGAAGATTATTTTGTTTTTTTTTTTTTTTACAACACAGGGAGCGAACGAGCATGCGGCTCACCTAATGGTAAGTGACTACCTCCGCCCATGATCACCCGCAACACCAACGGCATTGCAGGTGTGCTGCCGGCCTTTTAAAAAGGAATATGCCCTTTTCTTAAAGGTTACGATGTCGTATCGGTTCGGAAATACTACTGCTGGGAGTTAATTCCAAAGAGTGGTTGTGCGTGGGAGAAAGTGCAAATGAATTGAGTGTCTCCTTATGTTTGAAGTCGGTTGAAACCTTACCTTTAAAATTCCAGAGAACTGCATGTTCATATCGTTGGCAGCCCCCGACTGTTGCAGTACAGCGACAACACTTTCTGCATTGAATGCGCTCAATAAGCTCACCAGTGGTACCTGAAATATGCAGGGGGAGACTTTGTACAAAAGTCGTTTGTTTGGCCACCTTTGTCTTATTCATGTTTTTATCGTGACGCAGTTGTTTGCATGGCTGTGTTTCTGTTTAAAGGGTGGGATATGGCAGTGAATTTACAGGGTACAGAGGAATAACACTTGAGTCCTCAGGAATGACAACGCGTTATCATGGGCGTTATCATGGGGTTATTATGGGCGAAACAGTATACTCTGTCATGTCCACGGTATTGCTCATGTCTATAGGCGACGGTTACAGCTTTCCATCTGGTGGACCGTCAGCTTGTTTGCCAGTTTATTTTTCCATATTCCACCATATTGGCATGCACATCATCATCGTATCAGCCTTTAACTGTCCACTGCTGAACATAAGCCTCCCCCTTGAGGGGTTTTCCAGTAGTTGCCACGCTTGCTAGGTGGGTTGGCAACCACAGTCAGATAATTTTAATAGATATATACGTTTGTATGTTTTATCACTTATATATCCGATTGTATTCTGAGGAATTGTTTGAAATGATGCCCACGTCCACCTTTTATCATCACTTCGTACCCTATCGACAGGGAATTTATTCTCACACGCTTGAACCTAAATGGTCACGTACAGTGCGGTTGCAAAGGAGTTTTCTCCCGCGACCGCTCAGGCTGTGGAATGAGTTCCCTGCCGAAGTTTTGCCTAGAGTATGGGGTTCTTCAAAAAGGATATATTAAGGTTCCTTCAGGGTCGGCAACGTGCACGTGACACTCCTAGTATTGCAGGCGTCCATAAGCATCGTGACCGTTTACAATCAGACGTGCTTTATGCTTGTTTGCCAAATTTATGGTATAAAAAAATGTAATATTCTTTTTTTTCCCAACTCGAAGCTTGTCTAAAAGAGATTGCTTTAGCGATAAGACCGTCTTTTGTACTTCATATATAGGTACTTATTTTGTATTATTCTTTAAGTGGTGCAATAACGAGTGAATGAATGAAAAACACTCACGTTCTTGGTAACACCGTCGAAGGCGAAATATCTCTCTTTGGAGCCGGACACGTTCCTCGGTCTACCATTGTAAGCCAGCTTCATCATTTGCGTGGGGTCCGCGGTACACGTGGGCTTGTTGTCCAATTTCAGGGTCATATGGCCCTCGTAATTCACAGGGACACTTGTTATATCGTGATCTAAGCTCTTGTGTATATAATCGTGCTGTTCGAAGCAAATCTGAAAGGAGACGAGAATGTAATAGAAGTTTATGCTACTGAGAATGGCGAACAAACTGACAGCCCACCTGATCAAAGGTGATGGATGATAATGGAATGGTATATCTCCTTTGGAAAATATACTCTATATCCTAAGGAGATAAAAAACATCGCTACAAAGAACATCTTAAAATTCCTATCTCTGATAGGAATTAGGAGCGAGCTTTAAAAAAGAGCGAGCACAAAAGATCATAGAAAGGTCGTAGTGTCACAGGTTTTTCTGCCTGAAAAAGCCTGTCTTCCAATAATAATAATAATGGGATGGTCACCCTGTCTGTGTTATCGGTATATGCTGGCGAGACATAAGTGAGTAGTGAAAGGTGAGGATGAAAGTAAACAGTTGGCTCATTGTAACGAATTTATCATGATCAATTATGGTGTTTATGGTGTGTTAGGGAAATCACATGGAGGTTTATCTGATTTATTATCAGCAATGGGGTTGGCAGATTCGATTACTTCAATCCCTTCCTCCTTCCTCACTTGATGGACTACCACTTTTCATCAGGTGGGGCATTAGCTTGTTTGCCATTTTAAGTTGCAAATACAAAATCACCATTATTATATCAACCCTTACCTAAGCCTGTACATAAGCCTCTCCCTTAGAAGGTTTTCCTAAAAGTTGCCACGAGTAATTTAAAAGGAAGTCTGCTACACATCCCTCGACTATTATGTTCTCTTAGTCTCTTACGATATTCACGGGAAAGGAAGCAGTAGCTCATTGCATGCCGGGATCACACGGCTAAATACAAAATGCTTACCGAAAAGTCTGGAACATCTGCTTGATGACCTTTCACTGTGTAAAGAACAGTAGTATTCTCATCTTCAGTACGAATTTTGAGATCGGCTTTCACGTCAACTGAGACAGCTTCGGGTTTTTCATGGCTGCAACGGAATATTACATTTATTTTTGACGGGCTTGGTAGTCTAGCTAGTGTTTTTATTGGATGAAAATGGAATGGCAACCCCGCATGTGCTATCGGTATCCGCTGGCGGGGCACTAGTAAGGGATGGTAGGTGACGATGAAAGCAAGTCAGTTCGTTCTACCGCTTGTGCAACGGACTGTGCTCAGAGAAATCGTTCAATATTATGCCCACAGCCACTTTCTATCTACAGCTCGCCATCGACAGGGAGTTCACTCCCATACCTTAGAATCCGGATGGTCGCGTACAGCGTGGTTTCAGAGATGTTTTCTCTCACGAACGCTCAGGTTATGCAATAAGCTTCCTGTCAAGGTTGCAGAGTATACTGTGTCGCCCATGATACTCTTCACTCATTACAATTCCTGAGGACTAAGATCGTAAAACATATAAAACAAATTTACCTGAAATACTTAACTTCCGAAGATAGATCTATCAGCATCCCATCGTCCCAGAAGTCCGTGGTGTTCAGGATTTTGACTGTTATGTCCAGGACTTTATCATCAGTGGTGATCCGTTGTGGGGGCAGCAGGATACCGCAGGAGGACGGTGGTGGCGATGAGCTTTGCACCATGCCTTTCAGGAATAACAATGTCTGCTTTAGGGAAGTCAAGATCCTGAAGGCAAAAACGAGAGGGAATTAATGAATAATGCTAACAGCATTAAGCCCGCCATTTGTATTATATTTTTATTTAGTCAATATTATCAGCCATCTAATGTCCACTGTTGAACATAAATCTCCCCCTATTGGGAGGGTTTTGCCAGTAGTTAACACGCTAGATAGGCGGGTTTTTTTGATGGGTGAAAATGGTATGGGTAACCCCACCTACACTAACGGGATACGCTGGCGGAGCACCAGTCAAGGGTGATAGATGAGAATGAAAACAGGCCAGTTAGCACATCATGATGAATTCACCAGGAATTAACCATGATAGTTTCCAGGGGGAACCGCGAGCAGGTCGACCTGGTTGGGTATATTGCTAGCAATAGGATTCTCAGTCTCCATTACTAACAATCCCTTTCTCCTCAGATAGGCGGCTTGGGAACCGCGGTTAGGCTTTGATGTTTGTTTCAAGATTTTGTTTCAAGAGAAAAACTGCTGCCCATTCTTCGATCATTAAGTTTCATTAGTTGCCTCTTACTATACCTATTAAAAAGGAAGGGGTGGCCCGTTCTATGCCGGGACCATACGGCTTTAAAGTATCATCATCATCATCATAACAGGCAATAACTGTCCACTGCTGAACATAGGCCTCATTTTTGGAGAGGTTTTTTTCTATACAACTTAGAATGGCAAACAAGCTGACGGCCCACCCGATGGAAAGTGGTAACCGTCGTCTATAGACATGAGCAGTACCATGGACATAACAGAGTATACTGTTTCGCCCATGACACCCCTCTATGTGTTGCCATTCCTGAGGACTCAGGTGTTATTCCTCTGTACTTTGTAAATTTAGCAGTGGATTTTATTAAAGTATAAATGATATCCGCCAATCCGACTTCGATCAAACTGTTTATAATTACTCCTCTCCATCCAAAGGTTGTCTGCAAGAGATCGCTCTTAGCAATAAGGCCGCCCATTGTTGTCTCACTGTGATCATTTCTTGTAATTGTTTGTATCTATAATAAGTTTACTATTGTAATCTTATGGAGGTAACAATAAAGAGTGTCTAATAATATTACAATATTCTACTTACCCCAATTGGTCGTTATTGTATGCGAACAGTTGGTCCAATAACTCAAAGCCTGTCACCTCGTGACTGCAGTCCGAGAAAGCATCAGTTTCGACCTTGGAAATGGCAAAAAAAATAAAATAAAATAAGAGTCTGTTCAACAGAAAAAATCGACTTAATTTTTTTTATGCAACTCAGAAATGGCAAACAAGCTGACGGCCCACCTGATGGAAAGTGGTAACCGTCGCCTATAGACATGAGCAGTACCATGGACATAACAGAGTATACTGTTTCGCCCATGATTGTATGTACATTTATCTTAAAATGTATTAATGTATTAATCTCAAAATGCTTATTTAATTTACAAATTATTTTTGTTAGATCAATGCACCGCCATTTGCTCTCTCTTTCTCTCTCTGTTTAGTGCAACGGTTGACTGGTAGAGAATGCCGTCAGGTATTAAGTCCGCTCTGTTTTATTTTATTTTATTATACACAAAAGTATAAATAAATTAATAATATACTTATTCATATCTTTCAGCTAAAAAGAGATTTTTTCAAATCGGTCTAGAACTGACGAAGTTATGAGGTAAAAAAAAAAACAATCGAATTGAGTACCTCTTTTTTTCAAGTTGGTTGAGAAACTATACCAATAAACTGAGTTGTGACCATTTTGTGTTACTATGGCGCACGTATGAAAGAAGGAAATTGTAAATATTTATCCATTTATTTAATACTTTATTGTACACACCAGTTATTTATGAAAAATATGACAGATGTAATCAAACGTACAATAGCGAGCTTAACTCTAAAAGAGTTCTCCTCCAGCAACAGCCAAATTTAAATTTAGAAGGAAACTGTTGTTTTATTTTTTAAGCTTTACTGTACACAAAACATACTGTTAATCACAATTCATTATAAACATAATGTACAAAGGCGAGCTTATCTCTAATAAGAGATTTCTTCCAGCAAAACCTTTCCATGTTAATTGTGTTATTTTAAAAATAAAAATAGACAGTCATACGATCTGCATATATATGTATACACAAAGAATAATACAAACTACACATTATAAAATACATAAACCTTGTAAACATACACATATACTTACACATATATACATATACACATACATATATATACACATATAAACATATATAAATATACATACACATATATATAATACGTCAGCATAGTGATAAGTAATGCTCCCTTAGACGACGCTTAAACATGCCTGTACTTGTCGATTCCCTTATTTCGGATGGCAGACTATTCCATAGTCGAATAACTGTAAAGGAATTCCCAAAAGCCTGAGTATGATGCGGTGGAGTGTGATTTTGCTTTTTGTTTTTTTTTGTTGCTTTTTTGTTTATCCATTATTTTATCTGTTTTTACTGTGTATGCCTGTATTGTGTGTATGTTTGTATTGGTATTTGTGTGCTGTAAGTAATGTGAATAAATTATATATCTAACTATCTATCTACCATTTTTAAAAGAGACTTATATCACCTCTTCGTCGTTGGTAATGGTATATACATTCAATTCCTCGTCTGTCTGCTTGGATATTTGTGTCCTTGTGTGCATGGCGATGCCGCCTTTCTGACCGACTACGTTGGACCATGTGATTCTGAAATATTTAATAAACAGAAGTTGTTCATATGTTTTTTGAAAATTGATATATTGTATACATATTCGATGTATTCGATTGATAAATTAAAAAGTGCTCCGCTAGTGAAATAGAACGCTATATATATAAATATATTGCAAGGCAGAGGGAGACTTTGTACAAAAGTCAATTGCTTGGGTATTTCTGTCCCATTTGTGTTTCTACCGTGAAGCAGTTGTGTTTGCATCGCTGTGTTTCGGTTTGAAGTGTGGGATATGGCGTGAATTTACTGGGTACGGAGGAATAATATCTGAGTCCTCAGGAATGGCAACGCATGGGAGGTATCATGGGCGAAACAGTATACTCTGTTATGTCTATGGTACTGCTCATGTCTACAGGCGAGGGTTACCACTTTCCATCAGGTGGGCCGTCAGCTTGTTTGCCATTCTAAGTTGTATAAAAAAAAATATTGTTCACGGAAAATTGTTTTTTGTTGAAAATATTACAGTTAAAATATTTAATCATTTTACTTCAATACACGTCACACACACAAACACAAATAGAGAGAAAAATCGTGTACATGCACGCACGCACGATCGTACGCACGCCCGCACGCGCGCAAATACACCCACACATACACATGTACACACGCACGCACGGTCGGACGCCCGCACGCACACACGTCCACATATACACACACACACACACACACACACACATGCAGGCCCGCACATGGCTGTAGATACACACACGCGCGCAGTGTGCAATACTCACCCTTCTTTAGAAGTGGTCATATTGAACTTCATTGGTAAGTATGCGACCACGGAGCTTTGTACGCGGACCGTGTGCTCCGACTGCAGGATTAGTCCATCAGTGGACAGCGACGTCATAGCTGTGCCCTGGTACCTGGAGTTGTAGGTTTGGAATTGAAAAGTTCCTACTTTTATTAAACTAGCAAACAGGGGGGAAAGGGATTGTTGGTAATGCGGGCTACCAGTCTCATTGTTAGCAAGACACACTGTCAGGTCGACCTCCACGTGGTCCCCCTGGAAACTATCGTGCTGAATTCCAGGTGTATTCGTTACAATGGGTTAACTGACCTGCCTTTTTGCCCTACCAGCGTATACCGTCAGTGCAAACGGAGTTACCATTCCATTATCATTCATTAAAAAAACAGCCCCAGCAATATATATGGCAGTGAAATAACAGGGTACGGAGACATAACACTTTGGTTTTAAGGAATGGCAACGCATGGTGGGGTATCATGGGCGAAACAGTATACTCTGTTACGTCCATGGTACAGCTCATGTCTATAGGCGACGGTTACCACTTTCCATCAGGTGGGCCGTAAGCTTGTTTGCCATTCTAAATTGTATAGAAAACTGATCGGGTTTCTGACATTGAATGCTGGTGAAGGTCAAAAAATATTAATATGAACTTCGAAATGACTTCGAAATAAAGAACGTTCTTATTTCGGTTGTATTTTTTTTCATATCTGTTACTTCATAACTCCGTCAGTTGCGAACCGATTTGGAAATTTTTTTCCTTATCAGAAAGGATATACTTACACGTTACTTCCATAGACATTTTATGAAAATCGGTGGAGTATTTTAATTTTTAGACCAAAATAACTGGTTTAGTCGCAATTGAAGTCGGTTTTTTTTGTGGGACCTTATCTTTAACTGTCTTACCTCAAATGCAGGTCATTATTTATAACAATGTCTCCAGTGGCTGACAGGTTACCACGGATCGACGTGAACGATGTACTGGAGGACTGAAGTCTGATAGGTATACCTGACGAAGAAATATCATTAATTAAATAACAGCATATATACTTTATTGCACTATTACAACTTTTACCAGAGGAAGACTTTGTACAAAAGTCGATTGCTTGAGTACCTCTGTCCCATTCGTGTTTCTACCGTGAAGCAGTTGTGTTTGCATGGCTGTGTTTCGGTTTGAAGGGTGCGATATGGCGTGAATTTACTGGGTACAGAGGAATAACACGTGAGTCCTCAGGAATGGCAAAGCATGGGGGTATCATGTGCGAAACAGTATACTCTGTTATGTCCAAGGTACAACAAGGTACAAGGATTTTATTACAAAGTCAAAGATGCGTTAAAATAATAAAACCTGTATGCACTCACCCAGAACGCTAGGCAAATGCACCTCCATTTGCGCCGGCAAGTGTATCACTTGCTGGTTGATGTGGCTGCCCAGTCGGAGGAACTCGATCACTGATGTGATAACTGGGGGTGATACAAAAGTTTTAAGCTGTACTGCCTTATGCTATTTAGAGGATGTGTTTTTTTTAATGGGTGAAAATGGAACGGCAACCCCGCCCGCGTTATCGGTATCTGAATACAGGGAATTACATAGAAGGAATGATAAAATAAAAACTGTAAATCATACGGTTGTCTCCTTTCTTCTTATGCAAATATAATTAGTAAAACGAAAGATACACCATTAGTTGCTATTTTTCTCAATTCATAGCAGGTAGCATATACACTAGGTATAGAAAATGTTTGATATGTCAATTATTTGTCAATGACAAATTTTACATTACTAGATTATATATTGGACACAGTTTATGTAGAAAGTATGCAAGCGGGTTGCTTCTGAATTTGGTAGGGTTATACGGCCGTATAACGTTTTCTATACACTAGCCTGCGATGAATTGAGAAAAACAGCAACTAATGAAAAAAGGAGGCGACCAAACGAGTATGATTTACAGTTTTTATTTTATCATTCCTTCTATGTAATTCCTTGTTCTTACATCAGTATACACCGACGAGGCACCAGTGGAAGATGATAGGTGAGAATAAATGCAGGTCAATTGGTCCACCATGATGAATTTGACAAGAATTAACCGTGATGGTTTCCAGGAGGAACCGCGTGGAGGTCGAGGACATATTACTAGCAATGGGGCTATTAGACCTCATGACTAACAATCCCTTTCCCACTAGAAGTTAGTAAAAATAAATACATGTCTAGTGATATATTAGTACCGTGTGGTCCCGGCATAGAATGGGCCACCCCTCCTTTTCCCTTGGGTACCTTAAGAGGCGATTAAGGGAACATATAATCGAAGGATGAACAGCAGCGTCTCTTTTAAAATATCATCAAAAACAAAACTTCGGTTTTCAACCCGCCTGCCAAATGTGGCAACTACTGGCAAACTTCTTCTTATGGGGAAGGCTTATGTTCAGCAGTGGAGAGTTAATGGAATGAAATAATAATAAATAATTACTTACTGTGAAGACCGCTCCACGCGTCGAACTGTGTACGGTTGACGTGAGCAGCATACACGGTCATGTCTTGCATTTTGACCACCACATCTATGTGAACCTGTCAATTATGACCTTTCATATTAATATATATTTCTCAAACATGCTTGGAAATGTGAGCATTATTTTGACAATCTTCTTAGAGATAAATCAAAATTGCCGTACTGGCCAGATTCATGCGGGCAGCGGCCGGCAAAAGTTGTATGAAAATCCATATCTGTCGTGTTCTGCGGCCAGATAAATTACTATGTAAACTCATATCTGTCCTGTAATTTAAAAATGGAATGACCTTTTACTTCGAAACATGGCTACCAAGGAGGTAACTAACAAAAGGTTTTATTTAAATTTCGACTGGCTTGCAAATAGAAAGCTGTTTATTGAAAAAAAAAAACAAAGGAACATTATGGCGCGTGAAAAAATATTATTGTTCGTTATTCGTCATTGAACTTAAAAAGTAAAATTGTGTTTTTGATTTCCGCGCATTGTTTGAGAAAAGTACTATACAAGCCTTGGCCACAACTAGGCATTGATGGACTCACGTATGTGTGCCTCGGCTACGCCTCGGCCCACATTTGCACGTTCGTCCATCAATGCCTCAGTTGCTGGCCGCTGCAGTAATATACTAATATTATAAAGAAACAACCATTTGATGTTATATTACTAAATTATGTGTAATCTTGCGATAGTTAATATCATTGGTTATTTGATAAGAATCAGAGGGAGACTGTACAAAAGTAATCGACTTTTGACTGCTTGGCCACCTCTGTCCCATTCTTGTTTCAACCGTGAAGTAGTTGTGTTTGCATGGCTGTGTTACGGTTTCAAGGGTGGGATATGGCAGTGAATTTACAGGGTAAATAATAACACCTGAGTAATCAGGAATGGCAACGCATGGGGGGTATCATGGGCGAAACAGTATACTCTGTTATGTCCATGGTACTGCTCATGTCTATAGGCGACGGTTACTACTTTACATCCGGTGGGCCGTCAGTTTGTTTGCCATTCTAAGTAGCATAAAAATATTTCGTTTAATTCCGCTATCGTTAGTATGTGTGCGACTGCCAACACTCGAAGATTGATTATTATTTTTACCAGAAGGTATACAACGTTCCATATTAGCAATTAATCTCCGACTAACGGTAGCGGATTTAAACGAAATAATTCTAAATAAATAATCAAATTTGATATTTATATGACAATTTTTTAATCAGAGTTTCAGTTACTTGCATTTTCATACATCAAAAAGCTCATACCATCATCAGGAATGGCAACGCATGAGGGGTACGTTGCACACCAGTACATCATGTGCTGTCCACGGTTCTGATCATGCCTGTAGGCGACAGTTACCACTATCCATCAGGCGGGTCGTCTGCTTGTTTGCCTCGAGATGTGACTGAAAAAACTTACGTCTTCCGGGAGTTTCTGCGCCCACGCATTCAGGTCCTGGAGTTTCACCTTGAGCAGGTCCATCATCATGTTCTCCACGTTGAAGTATTTGAACCTCTTGTAGATATTTGTGGAGACCCCTTGTGCTACAAGGTATATCTAAAAATAGGATTGTTCTCATTTAGGCTTACGGCCAGGCTGATGGTAAACAGTTATTGTAGTCTGTGGATGCTTATAGGTTTTTTTTTTTGATGGGTGAAAATGGTATGGTAACCCCGCCTGCGCTAACGGGATACGCTGGCGGAGCACCAGTGAAGGGTGATAGGTGAGAATGAAAACAGGCCAGTTAGCCCATCATGATGAATTCATCAGGAATTAACCATGATAGTTACCAGGGGGAACCGCGAGGAGGTCGACCTGGTTGGATATATTGTTAGCAGATGCTTATAGGTTTCAGGGTCTATAGATACCGATGATGGTTTATCATGGAGACTGTATTATGCGTTTGGTAACTGTAGTTGTATAAAAAATATAGGCCAGTTAAAAATCATCTAAAATATGATCACCAGAGGGAGACTTTGTACAAAAGTCGATTGCTTGGGTACCTCTGTCCCATTCGTGTTTCAACCGTGGAGCAGTCGTGTTTGCATGGCTGTGTTTCGGTTTGAAGGGTGAGATATGGTGTGAATTTACTGGGTGCAGAGGAATAACACCCGAGTCCTCAGGAATGGCAACGCATGGGGGGTATCATGTGCGAAACAGTATACTCTGTTATGTCCATGGTACTGCTCGTGTCTATAGGCGAGAGTTACCACTTTCCATCAGCTTGTTTGCCATTCTAAGTTGTATAAAAAAAATTCAGAACAACGTTTGTTCAAATATTGGTATATTGGCAGAAATATTTGATTAAAATTTATGTTTAAATTTATATTGGAACAAACATTTGTTTTTATTTACTTTTAGACTTTCGAAACGTCGAGATTATCATTTCAGTCATTAACTGTCGATTGCTGAACATAAGCCTTCCCCATAATGGAAGTTTTGCTAGTGGGTCTCACGCTTGACAAGTGGGTTGGCAACCGCAGTCAGACTTTAGAGATGTTTTAAAAGAAACGCTGCTGCCCATCTCTGGACCATTAAGTTTCCTTAGTTGCCTTTTAGGACAACCTCAGGAAAGGAAAGTGTGGCCTATTTCATGCTGGGAGCACAGGATCTTGGACCAAACGTCGAGGTAATTCAAGTAAATTATCACTTAATTCCCAATATTTGTTAATTTTGATATATTGTAATACATATTTATAATAAGTTTACTATTGTAATCTTTTGGAGGAAACAATAAAGAGTATCTATCTATCTATCTATTTTATCAAACAGATGTTATGTATGTTGGAACAAACATTTGATAAAAGTTGGTTATATTTGAACAAACATTTTATCAAACTTTGATGTATTGGAACAAACATTTTATTTAACATTGGTGTACATGATTAAATATTTGATCAAACATTGGTGTATGGAACGTTTAACCAAATATTGGTAGTACAGTTTAAGCAATACTCACGGAAGTCTGATGAGACCTGACCCCGCCAGTGGACACCTTCGCGCCAACAAACGACGGCACCATGGTTTCATCACCAATCGACAAGAGTTGCAGGGCCGCGCCGCTGTCATCACTGAATATGGTGTTCTGAGTCGCCCAGTAGACTGAGTCGGGTTTTGACACTTGTTTTATGATGTAAGGCACGTAGTATGAACTGGAAAGAAGATATATTTTTAATGCCAAACAAGCTGACGGCTCGCCTGGTGGAAAATGCCAACCTTCGCCTATAGACATGAACGGTATCACGGACCTAATAAAATCCTTATTAATATCAGAAAGTGCGTTTCTTTCCTTTAACCCTTCTTTTCGGGGGGAAAGGGATTGTTAGTAATGGAGACTAAAAATCCCATTGCTAGCAATATACCAAACCAGCTCGACCTCTTCGTAGTTCCCCCTGGAAACTATCATAGGTAATTCCTGATGAATTCATCATGATGGGCTAACTGGCCTGTTCTCATTCTCATCTATCACCCTTCACTGGTGCTCCGCCAGCGTATCCCGTTAGCGCAGGCGGGGTTACCATTCCATTTTCATCCACCAAAAAAAACCCTTCTTTTCATAATGGTAGAAATTTCCATCATAATACCATGAATGCCCAAAATTTGTATAAAAGAACAATTTCACTTAAAGTCTGGATACCTTTTTAATGTCCATTGCAGAAAAAAAAACATAGCTGTCAAATTACAAAAAATTATTACACCTTATCAGGTCTACCTCCACGCGGTTCCCCCTGGAAACTATAGTGCTGAATTCCAGATGTATTCATCACTATGGGCTAATTGCTGATGAGCTAACTGACCTGCCTTTCCATTCTCACCTATCACTTCTCACTGGTGCCCCGGCAGCGTATACCGTTAGCGCAGACGGGGTTACCATTCCATTACTATCCATTAAAAAAGAAGTACAATCATGAAATATTTACGATTTAAAAGAGCTTGTAAATAAGTCTATTTGAATAAAGATTATTTACATTCCATCCCATCCCATCCCATCCCATCTCATCCCATTCCATTCCATAGTGTTCCTTAGTACTTTCGTACCCTAATGTACATGGATGCAAACCAGTAAAAATGTCCATGACTTACGCAACCCTGTATCCTGCAAATGACTTGTTCTCATCCATATTTATCACGCTGGAGTACCAGAAGCTCTTCAGCCGATTGTCGGTGGAGTTCTTAATATAGTTGTGTATGTATAGAAAGTCGCTCTCCCTGATGGTGGTGGAACTCAGGAACATGTGGATCGCGGCGATCCGGAGTTGGACTGGTTCGGTGTCGTTCGTCAGTATCGGGAGCGCTGTTTTTAGAACCTGAAATAGGAAGTTATTAGAAAATTTACATAACAAGGACGGTTTTAAAATTCTTAAGACTAGAGGGTGATTCTATGCCGTTTGATCTCGGCATAGTATGGGCTATTTCTTCTATTCGGGGGGAAAGTGTTTTTATCTATGGAGTTTGATAGCCCCATTGCTAGCAATATGCCCTATTAGGTCGACCTTCACGTGTTTCCCCCTAGAAACCATCGTGAACAATTCTTGTCGAATTCGTCACGATGGGCTAACTGACCTACTTTATCCTCACCTATCATCCTTCACTAGTGCCCCGCCGGTGTATACCGATAGCGCGGGTGGGCTTACCATTCCATTATCATTCATTAAAAAAAAAAAACCTATTCCCGTGAGTATCGTAAGAGGCATTTAAAGGAACTTAATGGTAGAACTTATGCCAATTATAAATTAATTATTATTAAGTTTTATTCAAACAGATGAAGAAAAAAAGATCTATTAAAGGTAGTCATCCTTACCTCGTACGGTTCCTCCGGAATGGAATTACTGCTGCCAAATGCTGCCCACAATCTCTCATACTTATGTTTGGTGGGGTCCCCGAAAATCACATTGGTGTACTCCATAGCAGAAAATCCAATGTTGCATAAACCTTGCAGCCAAATCAGTCTGTCGACATATTGGGGACAATCTGTGGAGGATGGGGAGAAATTGTTAGGGAGGCAAACGAGTAGAAGGCTAAAATTTCGTCGCCCATGAACTTTGGGTGTTTTGTGATTATGATGAAGTTTGGATGTTTGTCCCTCGATATTTGATACTTGAGATTTGATACTACATTATCAAATATGCAGTAATCTCAATTTATATACAGAAAACCGTGTACTGTTTCGGGCATCTTGAAGATAGGGTTATGATAGCATCCAAAAAGCTCAGAATACTTATTAGAGTGAGTACTTCACTCCGAGAGAAAGATTTATCGTTTTACAAGTCGCAACCTCGGCTCCTTATAGAGCACTGCCTTCATCTATGGGTTGGAGCACTGCGATACCAGTTTAATCTTTTTGACTCGGTTCAAAGACGGGTTATGGAAATTGTCAACTATCTCATACTTACAGCCGGTATCAAATCGTAACTTTGAGGCGTGATTTCACCTGCCTTTGTTTAAGGTATTTGGATTTATGTATATGTAAAATTGGGTTCATTATTATAGGCCACATCATCTATTTCTTTCCTTAGTACTCCATCAGCGTTTACCAAGCGCTATATGCGGGGTTACCATTCCATTATACTTTATTTTTGCAAATAAGATTGGCTAAAAAGCTGACGGCCCACCTGATGAGAAGTAATCTTCGTCTATACGCATGAGCATGAAATGGAATGGGGAATAAATGAGGATTGAGTACTCTGTTCAGTTTTCCTAAGAGACTATAGTTAGAGTTCTTCAAAAAAGGGATAAATAAGTGTCTTATGTTGCTTGCCGATATCAAAAGGAACTTAAGTTTGTTTTTCGTCTCAGTGGTGTTAAAAAATCATATGAATTCTTATCAGTTTCCATTCCATTCATCATATCAGTCTGTCCGTTGTCCACTGCTGAACATAAGCCTCTTCCTTACAGGATTTTGCTAGTAGTTGCCACACTTGGCAGGCGGGTTGGCAACCGCAATTAGGTTTGGGAGATATTTTAAGAGAGACGTTGCTGCCCATCCCTTGCCTTCCCTTAGTCGCCTCTTACAACACCAACGAGAAAGGAAGGGGTGGCCTATTCTACATCGGGACCACACGGCCAACTGTAATGGAATGCACTGATATTTTAAAATAATAAACAAAATATTTACCACTATACATCCTGAAGTATTTCACCACAATATAGTCCATGTAGTCCTGTTTGACACTCCAGGCCGCTCGTGTTTTATGCACCAGGATCCCGAAGCTGAGGATACCAGCCCTCCTGATCTCAGGGTTAAAGTCCAGCCCCAACTTGGTGAATACCTCCAACTCTTCGAGTAGAGCTTGGTTGTATATTGCCACGTTGAATGGCAGTTTCCTTATCAGTGACAATATTGCTGCATCTTCTATTTTCTCCTGCATATGAATATTCATACATTTAGTATGTAAATGGTTTCTAGCTTGTATTTCGTGGATATTAGGCGTGGATTTCAGACTAATAAAGTAAACTATTTGATGGCGTATTAAGAAAAAACATACACCAGAATTTAAATCTGTAGATTTTAACCTTTAGGAATAAAACTAGAGGGAAACTTTATACAAAAGTCGTTTGCTTGAGTACCTTTGTCTCATTCGTGTTTATACCGTGAAACAGTTGTGTTTGTATGGCTGTGTTTCTGTTTGAGGGGTAGGATATGGTAATGAATTTACAGGGTACAAGGGAATAATCCCTTAGTCCTCAGGAATGGCAGCGCATGAGGGGTATTATGGCCGAAACAGTATACTCTGTTAAATCTATGGTACTGCTCGTGTCTATAGGCGACGGTTACCAATTTCTATCAGGTGGGCAGTCAGTTTCATTAGTCAGCCCCATGCGTTGCCATTCCTGAGGACTCAGGTGTTATTCCTCTGCTTAATGAAGTAGGGGTTCATTTTCGGTCGGGCTAATTTAACAAACAAACTCTCCTGTATTGTTTCTGGTCTGGGTGTTCCTTCAAATGTCTGTGGCCCGGTTTTTCATTAAACAGGATATATATTTATTTAAACTAATGCACAGAGAAACTGTGTACATATGGCGGACTTAACAACAGACGGTGTTTTCTGCCAGTCAAATATTGATATTGATGGATATTTATTTATTTAACTCTTTATTGCACCATAAATAAAAATATACAATGACAAGTGAATAATTCAAGGGAAATACAGTAACATAAATACAGATTGAAATATACACATAAAGGTACAAAAGGCGGTCTTATCGCTAGGGCGATCTCTTACAGACAACCTAGTTTTCTATATTATTTATTTATATTTATATTTATTACCTATATTCTAGTTTAAAGATCAGTTGTTTGTTGTGATTATATGTTTTTGCCTTCCAATCTTTCGTAACTTCCTTACCTTCTTCTCCATGACGAGGTACTTGACAAATTTCGCGCAATCATTTGATTTGGCGTAAGGCAGCATCTCCAGGAAGATGTTTCTGGCTGTTTCCAATTCATAGCTCGTGCCCAGAATCAGATCTTCGAATAGAAGCACTAAGTGGTTGTAGTCCAGTTGTGCTATGGTGCTGAAAAATATATTTACATGTTTTTTTTTATACAACTTAGAATGGTTAACAAGCTGACGGCCCACCTGATGGAAAGTAGTAATCGTCGCCTATGTTCCATCATTTCGAGAAAATCACAGAGTATAAACTAGAGGATTTTTACTGGATGCAAATAAAACAGTACTCCCGTCTCTTTCATAGACTGCCTAAGACTAAGGACTAAGACTAAGGAATGGTCGAGTTATATGCATTCATCCAATCTCTGGAAAATACGAGTGTTTGAGGTATTTTTTTTAATGCGTGAAGATGAAATGGTAACTCCGTCTGCGCTATTGATATACGTTGGCGAGGTACCAGGGAGGCATGATAAGTGAAGATGAAAGCAGGTCAGTTGACCCATTGTGACGAATTTATTAATAATTATGCACGATGGTTTCCAAAGGAACCGCGTGTAGGTCGACCTGTTAGGGTATATTGCTAGTAATGGGGCTGTTAGTGCCCGTTACTGACAATTCCTCCCCCCCTAGTCTTTGAAGTCGTCGTGTGATGTAGTACAACCAATTTTGAAGCAACTGTACTTGCATGGCTGTAGTTCGGTTTGAAGGATGAGACATAGCAGGGAAGTTATAGGACACGGAGAATAACACCATAGTCCTTATGAATGATAACGTATGAAGGCCATCATCTGTCACCACTCTGTGATGTCTGTAGTACTGTTTATATCTATAGATGACGGTTTTTTAATGATTGATAATGAAATGGTAACTCCGCTAGTGGTATCTGTATACGCTGGCGGGGCACCATTGAGAAAATTTCATAAGAATTAACCAGAATGGTTTCCAAGGGGAACCACGTGGAGATCGACCTGATTGGGTATATTGCTAGCAATAGAGCTAATAGATCTTCATTTCTAGCAATCCCTTTCCCCCATAGACGACGACTACCGTCTTCTGTCTTCTATTAGGTGAACCGTTAGATTGTCAATCTAAATTGCATAAAAAAAACTTTACAGCTTCGAGGAGATCGTTTGCTGTACAATGTTACATCCTCACGCTTGAACAACTAACATCATGCTTTTAACGACCATGTAATTTTAGACATGGTACATTTAAATAAATACACATAATGTCAACAGAGATTTGAAAGAGTAACTGTTGAGTTTCTCGCGGGCTCTTCCCAACAGGTAACAACTTTCCGAATCCTGCATTCGTAAAAAATGACCATTTAAAATTGCTTGTGTAAACAAGAAAATCCTATTTGAATAAATATTATTTGAATGTAATCTAGTACTTAATTTTTTTTTTCTATTGGTTGTCCGTTCTAAGGGCTATACGATCGGTCCCTTGTCACTTGTTTTTTACTTACCCTTCGGACTATATTGATCACTTTAGTTTTTCTACGGACAGCCTCATTTCGGATTATATTACGCAGCGAAATTCCAAGCGTAGCTATCTCAATAACTCGCTGTGCAAATTGGAATGTTCACGTAATCATTTACTTCAAAGGAAATCTTAAAACATGGAGAAGTCTAACTCACTTCAGAAGGTTGGAAAGGTCCAAGTTGTGGATAAGTGATGCATTTCTGACCACATTGTCGGTGTCTATGCCTTTTGTAGCAATTTTGAGAAGAATCTAAAAACAACAAATATGTGAATGGAAAGGAACCAAAAATCAGTAGCAAAAATTCAGGCAAACAGCTGATCTTCCACCTGACGGATAGCAGTAACCGTCGCCTATAGATATGAACAGCACCATGGAGATAAAAAGTACATTATGGTACCTATAGAACTTTTCATGCGTCGCCATTTTCAAAACCTGTGATTTTTTAATAGATGATAATGGAATGGTAACCCGCCTGCGTTAACGGTTTACGCTGGCGGGGCACCAGTGAGGGATGATAGGTGAGAATGAAAAGGCAGGTCAGTTAGCCCATCGTGATTAATACACATAGAATTCAGCACGATAGTTTTCAGGGGAGACCATGTGGAGTTCAACCTGACAGAGTATATTGCTAGTATTGTCACTGGTAATCAGCATTGCTAACAATCCATTCCCCCCAGGACTACGATGTAATTTAACTGCCATATTCCATTCTTCAAACTGAAACATAGCCATGCACACACAACTGCTTCACGCCAGAAACACAGATAGGACAGAAATACTTATACGCATGATTTTTGTATGGTTTCCTTCTGGTAAACCTATGTCGCCTCTTAATAAGCTAATACTCAAAGATTTATAAGTTTATGTCCTGTTAATGTATAGGAACTTATAAATCTGTAGGCGTATTTTATGAGGACAAAGGTAGGTTGTGTTCACCCCTGAATTGTCCGTTCTTCACCCCAGGATCTGAGCAAAGCTATATGTGATATGTCTGAGAACACTTATACGCTTCTTTTAAAGACCAAGTCCTTCTCCCCTCCTAGGCAATAGTAGTCCGTACTTACCTCCAAAGTCCGGTTCTTCAATTGATCTTGACTGACATTCCTTATACCATTTGATGGATAACTGAAGTCACTGGTCTTATATATTATTGTTGTTTTGTTCAGGCCCAATTCTTTTGTGTCCTGTATGGGCCTGTATGTCTCATAATAGAGGAAAAGTCTGGAAAGATATGCGAGATATTTAGTGTAAAATTACTATTAGATATAGAGGGAGACTTTGTAAAAATGGCGTAGAGATGTCGCATTTCTGTGCGTCTCCTACCGAATTTATCATGGGGAGTGCTCTGAGGAATTGTTCGGATTGATACCTGCTGCTGATTTCCCCATCGTACAACCGGCCATAAACTAAAATTTCATCCCAACCATCTGGACGAGTGGCGATCCTCCACCGTGCTTTTTTCAAAACACTTTCTTTCACGCACAACCACTCTTTGGAATCAAATTCCAGCAGCAGTATTTCCGAACCGATACGACAACCTTACCTTCAAGAAAAGAGCATATTCCTTTTTAAAAGGCCGGCAGCACACCCGCAATGCCGTTGGTGTTGTGGGTGATCATGGGCGGCGGTAGTCACTTACCATCAGGTGAGCCGCATGCTCGTTTGCCCGCTGTGTTGTAAATAACAAATTCTTCAATAAAGTCTTATACAAAGTATTCTACTCCCTTTTGTCAAAATCATGTTTCTGCTGGAAAATAGCTTTCCTTGAATTTGTCTCAATTTGAAGAATGGGATATGGTAACGAAATTACAGGGCACTGAGATATGACATCATGCACCGGGAAGATTTATAGACGAGGATTACTATTTTCCATCAAGTGGGCTTACTTATTATCTATACATTTTTTATGCAACTACGAATGACAAACAAGCTGACGGCTCACCTGATGGAAAATGGTAACCAAAGGGAGACCAAACATCGTTTGCTTGAGCACTTCTGTCCTATTCGTGTATCTACCGTGAAGCAGTTGTGTTTGCATGGCTGTGTTTCCGTTTGAAGGTTGGGATATGGCAGTGAATTTACAGGGAACAGAGGAATAACACCTGAATCCTCAGGAATGGCAACGCATGTGAGGTATCATGGACGAAACAGTATACTCTGTTATGTCCATGGTACTGCTCATGTCTATAGGCGACGGTTACCACTTTCCATCAGGTGGTCCGTCAGCTCGTTTGCCATTCTAAGTTGTATAAAAAAGTTTATAAAGCTTCTTACTCGGAAATGACATTCAAGATGTGGTTGTTCAACTTATATTGCAGAGTTCCCTTCAAGTCCAAGCTGATGAGTCCCTTCGCATCGTCCACTTCGTACACTCTTTCAGCCGTCGACATGGATTCCGGCTACGAAATAGAGTAAAGTTATATAAATCTTTACTAATATTATAAAATAATTGATGCCTGCGACTTTGTCCGCGTGGTATTTATTATTCCTGTTTAGTATGTATCCATGTATGTACCTATCTATTAAATATGTCTGGGAATACTGGACCAAAATTAACGAATGACGTGTCGTTCTCACTCTTTGTTTTAGGTCACAATGATGTTACTCAAGTAGATTGTGTACTAAGTTGTATAAGTAACTATAGTTTTTTAACTATCCCACGGGAACTCTTTAATTTTCCGTGATCAAAAGTATCTAAAACGTTGACCTGGGATGTAAGATATCGCCGTGCAAAATTTCATTTAAATCGGTACAACAGTTTCGGAGATTAGCCCGTACAATTTGAAAAAAATCTGGATGTGTTCTATTTAACTTCTAACATCCCCCTGATTCGGTTTTTAGCAATATTTATGTACAGACATTAGACTTCTACAGTTTTATTATATGTATAGATAGGCAGTTGTCGCGAGGTTCTGGCATAGAATAGGCCATCCCTTCTTTTCCCGTGGGTGTCGTAAGAGGCAACTAAGGGAACTTATCGGTCGAGGAATAGGCAGTAGTGTTCCACCTTAAACATCACCAAAAGTCTATCTGCGATTGCTTATCCGCCTACCAAGCGTGTCATTACTGGCAAATCGCCCCTTTATGGGGAAGGCCTATGTCCAGCAGTGGACAGTTGACGGCTGATATGATGATGATGATTTGTTTGCAAACATGGTAACGGAATACCTACAGCTCTGTCTTTTTTGGTTTAAATAATGTAAGATTTTTGTTCACAGAAAAAAAATACTTCTATCTTGGTAGAAACAGTTATGTATGTATGTATACTTATAATAAGTCTGTAGAGAGGTCAATTCTGTACATGTCCAAAATAACTATCAGCGGGTGATTAGTGATTGATACTGATGCCAAAAATGCAATCAGTAAAATTTTCGTCTGTCTGTCTGTATGTTTGTTATAGAAACAAAAACTACTCGACGGATTTTAACGAAACTTGGTACAATTATTCTTCATACTCCTGGGCAGGTTATAGTATACTTTTCATCACGCTACGATCAATAGGAGCAGAGCAGTGAAGGGAAATGTTGGGAAAACGGGAGAATTTACTCCATTCTTAAGCTTCAGTCGCGTGTGCAGCCACTTTTTAAAATGTAAAAATGTCCAGGATAAAAAATAAATTATATAAATGTATATCCTTTCATGACGACTTGAAATGCATTGCAGGGAGTCAGCGGATGCAGGTGGCTCAGGACCGTTATGGCAGTCTATGGGGGAGATTTATGTCCAGCAGTGGACGGATAACGACTGAAATGATGACGATGATGATATCTTTTCATATATGAAAAATAATTTTTCAAATCGGTTTACAAATAATGGATTTATGGAGTAATAAACTAAAAATTTGGGCATCTCTTTTTTTTTAAAACCCTTTGAAAAGTATACAGTAACAGCTTTGCCTTTTCTCTTATATTTAATCCTTGATTATTTTGAGCCCTCGAAGAAGAAATACGACCGCCGAGAAGAAGGAGAAGGAAGACGAAGTAAAAAATGTCCAGTACTTACATAACTTCGTCCGATGAACTGGGTCACGGTTGGTACGGAGCTCCAGAGGAATTCAGTTTCCGAGGACGTGATCTTCTGGTTAGTGTACTTCTCTATTCTGTTCCCGCTGACCGTGTAAACTGATGTGCAGCTATGGTGAAGACATGGCTGGAAGTATTTTGATGGGTTTTTTATAATATTCCGAATGGCAAATTACCGGATGGAGGGGAGGAAAGGTAATGTTAGAAATGGAGACTAAGAATCCTATTGCTGGCAATTTACCCAACTAGATCGACTTTCAGACAGTCCCTCCCCCCAGAAAATATAATAGTTAATTCCTATGAATTCATCATGATAGACTAACTGGCCTGTATTTATTCTCACTTACCAGCCCTCACTGGTGCCCCGCCAGCATATACCGTTAAAGTAAGCGGGGCTGCCATCCCACTGCCATCCATTAAAACGATTCCATCATGTGGTTTTTTTAATGGATGAATAGTAACTTTCGCTTATATGTATGCACAATGTTTCACGCCATAAACAGCAGATGATCACTGTGATACTCATGGTATCCCGCATATTGTGATATGAATGATATGATAAAAACTGTACATCATATGGTTGCCTTCTTTCTTCTTATGCAAATACAATTAGTAAAAAGAGGACCAAAGATTTTTTTTTATACAATTTAGAATGGCAAACAAGCTGACAGTCCACCTGATGGAAAGTGATAACCGTCGCCTATAGACATGAGCAGTACCATGAACATATCAGAGTATACTGTTTTGCCCATGATACTCCCCATGTGTTGCCATTCCTGAGGACTCAGGTGTTATTCCTCTGTACCCAGTAAATTCACGCCATATCCCACCCTTCAAACCGAAACACAGCCATGCAAATACAACTGCTTCACGGTTGAAACACGAATGGGACAGAGGTACCCAAGCAATCGACTTTTGTACAAAGTCTCCCTCTGGTGAGTGAGATACACCATCAGTCGCTACTTTTCTCAATTCATATCAGGCTAGTGTATAGAAAATGTTTAATATGTCAATTATTTGTCAATGTCAAATTTTAAATTACTATATTATATATTTGGCACAGTTTATGTAGAGAGTATGCAAGCAGGTTGTATCTGAATTTGGAATCTGAATAATTTAAGACATACAGCCACAAGAGATGCAGAGGGCGATAAACAAATAGAGGGAGTTGATAACCAATAAGATAAAAATAATCAGCCAACAGAGAGTCTAATAGGGAGGGAGACTTTGTACAAAAGTCGATTGCTTGGATATCACTGTCCCATTCGTGTTTCAACCGTGAAGCAGTTGTGTTTGCATGGCTGTGTTTCGGTTTGAAGGACGGAATATGGCGTGAATTTACTGAGTACAGAGGAATAACACCTGAGTCCTTAAGAATGGCGACGCATGAGGGGTATCATGGGCGAAACAGTATACTCTGTTATGTCCATGGTACTGCTCATGAGTATAGGCAACGGTTACCACTTTCCATCAGGTGGGCCGTCAGCTTGTTTGCCATGCTAAGTTGTATAAAAAAAAAAAAATGAATCAGTAGATATTGAATACAAAAACTAACCTGAACATGCTCTAGAGGGAGAAAGGTTAACAAATGATGCATTAGTTAATGCAGATATAGAAGAAACATTAATAAATGATCAATTTGTTGATGCTGCCATGGAAGGTCATGTTCATGTAAAAGAACCTGAAGAGTTTGTAGATGCTCAAGATACTCCGGTATCAAGATATAATTTTAGAGACAGGAGCACTATAAAACGTCCAAAAAAACTTGAAAACTTTGTTTGTCTACTAAATGCCACAAACAATCGAGAAACTTATAAAGAAGTTTCAATTAGAGAAGATCACAATGAGTGGTTTAAAGCCATGAAAGTTGAAATAAATTCTCTAAAAGAAAACAACGTCTCGAGTTTATGTAAGCTACCACTCAATTGGACATGCATAAGTATACTAAGTGGGTAGAATGATACCCCCCATGCGTTGCCATTCCTGAGGGCTCAGATGTTATTCCTTTGTACCGTGTAAATTCACGCCATGTCCCACCCTTCAAACTGAAACACAGCTGCGCAAACACAACTGCTTCACAGTAGAAACACGAATGGGACAGAGGTGCTCAAGAAAACGACTTTTGTACAAAGTCTCCCTCAGACAAAGTGAAAGCAATTGCTGTTATTTTTTTTGTAAAGAAGATCGACAGCAAGAAGATACTTATTTGCCTATATGTAGACGAAGGTCTAATAGCCACAACAGATGTCGCGCCCAACGCCGAAGCCAAGACTCATCAAAGCCAGGCTAAAAGCTTGGACTGCAGCCGATGAGAGTTTAATTAATAAGGGGAAGTGTTAAGGTGCAAACTAGGTATTAATAAACTCTTTAGTGAAATTTGAAAATACAAAAAGAAAAATATTATTGGCTGGTAACTTTAATATATTTGTCATAATGTTCTATAAATTGACTATTGTATAAAAAAAACTGTACAAATAAAATAACATTTTAATATAATAGTGCGAAATAGTGTTTCATGTAATAAGTATGTGTTATGTTTATTATAAATAAACTGTCAAGTTACTTGGACTAAGAACTAAATCTATTGTATTCAATACAAGTGCTATTACTTTCACGCTGGTCATCTTTCCATGTAGATCTACTCCTAACAAGGTAGGTATTCAGCTGCAACTCTCACATAATCTACTCTCTGAATGCTGGATTACGTTTCCAATTCGATGCTTGTATCAGGCCACTCCTTCCTTTCCCGTGGATTTTTTTTATGCAACTTAGAGTGGCAAACAAGCTGACGGCCCAAAGTGGTAACCGTCGCCTATAGACAGGAGCAGTACCATGGACATAACAGAGTATACTGTTTCGCCCGTGATACCCCCCATGCGTTGCCATTCCTGAGGACTCGGGTGTTATTCCTCTGTACTCTGTAATTCACTGCCATCTCGCACCCTTCAAACCGAAACACAGCCATGCAAACACAACTGCTTCACGGTAGAAACACGAATGGGACAGAGGTGCTCAAGAAAACGACTTTTGTACAGTCTCCCTCTGGTACTGTAAGAGGCGACTAAGGAAACTTAACGATCGAGGGATGAATAGCAGCGTTCTTCTTAAAACATAACTAAAGTCTAAGTACGGTTACCAAACCACCTCCCGAACGTAACAACTACTGGTAACCCCCCCCCCCCCCCCCAAGGGAGAGGCCTGTTTTCTGCAGTGGAGAGTCAGTGGTTGATCTAATAAAGATCTGAGGATCTGAGTTGAGAATTAAATATAATTACATAACGACCTTACCTCGTCAACCACGTAAGTACCAGTTTTTTTATTTATTTGAAAATTCAAGGACAGCGCCCTCTTCACATTTGTGGCCCAAACAGGTTCCGAACCAACGTATATCGATTCGACGAAACCGTTGTCCTGCGGACAAAAAGAGTACAAAAATGTTATTGCAAAAAATTATTAAAGAAATAAAAAAAGAAGAATGAAAAAATATCTTGTAAATTCTATTCTTATTCTTATTCTTTCTTCATCCAAACTATCCGTTTCTGAAACTCCTTACCTCTTTGATATAGATCAGCACAATCTCTTGCCTCGTTCAAGAGGCAGGTAAAATCTCATTACCTGTCTCTTTTATCTTTACTACGGGTGATTTACCTTGATCTATTTAGTGTATATATATATATATATGCGATCATTTCTTGTAATTGTTTGTATCTATAATAAGTTTACTATTGTAATCTTATGGAGGAAACAATAGAGAGTGTCTATCTATTTATCATCCATTGAAAAAAAAAACTATAATATTGGTTCCGGTTTCCTCTCGGCCTGGTAAAATAAATAATTGGTACTATAACTGCAATTAGTACTGAGTTTAAATTTAAGTATGTACTTACATTATAGTCGACTTCCCAGGGCTGAGTCAAATATTTCTCTGACTCTTCTGATTGTCCAGAGGAATGCTCGTTCTTGCTGAACGACGAGGCCTGGAATGTTATATTCAGTATAATTCAATTTTTTTTCTATACAACTTAGAATGGCAAACAAGCTGACGGCCCACCTGATGGAAAGTGGTAACCGTCGCCTATAGACATGAGCAGTACCATGGACATAACAGAGTATACTGTTTCGCCCACGATACCCCCCGTGCGTTGCCATTCCTGAGGACTCGGGTGTTATTCCTCTGTACTCAGTAAATTTACGCCATATCCCACCCTTCAAACCGAAACATAGCCATGCAAACACAACTGCTTCACGGTTGAAACACGAATGGGACAGAAGTGGTCAAGAAAACGACTTTTGTACAAAGTCTCCCTCTGGTGAATTCTTCTGGTCAATTTCAAATCACAGCTATTTTTGAAGACGTCATTTATTTTTTGTCGTCTTTCTCTTTTGAAAACCTCGACTCCCTGTCGCTTACTCCAAAACCCGAGTGTTCGTGGGGTATACATATTTAGTACCTTTAAATTCTCCAACTGAAGCCTGGCCCTGGTGAAGTTGTTTGCAACTGTGACAGTTAATCTTCCATCTAACGTCCAGTAGGTGGTGCGCTCGGCGATACCAGTAGACACTGTCGTCTTCACCAAGTAGATGTATTGCTTATGCTCGGGAAAGAGCAATTGGAGACCTGAGGGGCTGGCTGTGGTGGAAACTAGTCCTGAAATAAGGAAAGAAATTTTCTATTCAAGAAAATTATTTGGGTATCACAACAAAGTCTGTTTAAAACAAAAAAAAAAAAAGATATATAAATATAATAAGCTTTTTAGGCATTATCCTCTGATTTTCGCCTTTGTTACGGTTTAAAGGGTAGCATATGGCAATGAAATTACAAGGTATAGAGGCATAACACCTGAGTCCTGGGGGGAAAAGGGATTGTTAGTAATGGAGACTAAGAATCCCATTGCTAGCAATATATCCAACCAGGTCGACCTCCTTGCGGTTCTACCTGGAAACTATCATGATTAATTCCTGATGAATTCATCATGATGACCCAACTGGCCTGTATTCATCCTCATCGATCACCCTTCACTGGTGCTCCGCCAGCGTATCCCATTAGCGCAGGCCCCGCCTGCTTTTACTTACCACTCCATTTTTATCCAATAAAAAAAAACACCTGAGTCTGGGCGAAACAGTATATTCTGTTATGTCCATGCTACTGCTCATGTCTATAGGCGACGGTTACCACTTTCCATCAGGTGGACCGTCAGCTTGTTTGCCAATCTAAGTTGTATAAAAAAACATATATAGCATACGTATAATAATGTAAATATATAAATGTATATTTAATGAAACAGTAATGAATAATTTTTAAAAATCTAAATTCATCTCAGCTGATATTGCATTCCAAAGTAGGTCGTGGATTCATTAAAAATGTCTGTTGTAAAAATGTTTCAAATTAAATTAATTTGAATGAATAATAATTAAAGATTGTGGTCCAAAAAAAAGTATATTTTTCATAAAAAAATTGTCAGAATTGATAATTGAAGCATTTCAGCCATTAACTGTGCACTGCTGAAGCCTTCCTCTTGGAAGGTTTCGCCAGTAGTTGCCACGCTTAGCAGGCGGATTAGCAACAGTAGTTAAGTTTTGGAGATGTTTTGAGAGGGACGCTGCTGCCCATCCCTCGACTGTTAAGTTCTCTTAGTCGCCTTTTACGACATCCACGGGCAAGGAAGTGGTGGCCCATTCTATGGCGGGAACACACGGCAATATTATATATTTTGATAACTACCTATTAAGAATAGCACGCCTCTAAAGAACATCTTGTCAATGACCTGCAACAACAAAAAAGTTGATAAGTAATATAAACAAGTCAAAGAAAAATTAACTAAATTAGAAGAGGGGGGGGGGAAAGGATTGTTAGTAATGGAGACCGAGAATCCCATTGCTAGCAATATACCCAACCAGGTCGACCTCCTCGCGGTTTTCCCTGGTAACTATCATGGTTAATTCCTGATGGATTCATCATGATGGGCTAACTGGCCTGTTTTCATTCTCATCAATCATCCTTCACTGGTGCTCCGCCCAGGGCCGTGCCTGGGTATATGGCCGCCTGCGTGCCAGTCTGTATGGCCGCCCCCAGGATAACATTAAAAAAAACTACTTTAATTTTTAATGTTTATTATTATACACAGGGCATCAAACCGGGAAAAAAATCAGTTTTTGGTTAACCGAAATCGAGAACGAAAAAAAATATTGGTTTTAAAAAATAACGATTTGGCCGCCTCTTAATTTCGGCCGCCTGCGTGCGGTGCACGCAATGAACGCCCGTCAGGCACGGCCCTGGCTCCGCCAGCGTATCCCGTTAGCGCAAGCGGGGATACCATATTATTTTCACTCATAAAAAAAAACCTAATTAGAAATTATGCGACCAAAATGATCACCACTCAACTTAGTGTTTTTTTAATGGGTGATGATGGAATGGTAACCCCGTTTGCGCTATCGGTATACCCTGGTGGGGCACCAGTGAGAGATGATAGGTGAGGATGAAAGCAGGCCAGTTGGCCCATCGTGACAAATTCACCAATGGATCAGTCATGATGATTTCTAGGGAAGCCGCGAGGAGGTCGACCTGAAAGGGTATATTCGGAAAGCTGTTATGTGTTGAGAAGAGCCCGCAAGAAACTCAACAGTTACTCTTTTAAATCACTAGCAAATATGCAAAAATGGTTAGCAAAAGTGAATTTATCTCTAAAAGAGATTTCTTCCAGTCATTACGTGTATTTATTTAAATGTACTATGTCTATTTTTTTTTTATGGGTGAAAATGGTATGGTAGCCCCGCCTGCGCTAACGGGATACGCTGGCGGAGCACCAGTGAAGGGTGATAGATGAGAATGAAAACAGGCCAGTTAGCCCATCATGATGGATTCGTTAGGACTTAACCATGACAGTTTCCAGGGGGAACCGCGAGGAGGTCGACCTGATTGGGTATATTGCTAGCAATGTGATTCTTAGTCTCCATTACTAACAATCCCTTCTCCCCTATGTCTAATATTACATGGTCGTTGGCAGCCCGCGCATGATCCACTAACACCGTGCACGCTTGTCATTCAAGTAATCGTTTAGTGTGCAATAGGCTTTGTTCAATAAGTGTTTTTAATAACAGTTTTAAACTTATTAAAAGGCAGATCCAAAATATCCTTCGGTATCTTATTGTAACATTTAATGGCCATGCCCATAAAAGACCTATTTATTTATTTATTCATTAGTACAAATATGTGTACATGGCGGACTTAATGCTAAAAGCATTCTCTCCCAGTCAACCATAGGGAAGTGTCAGAATACTCGAATACGGTACTATTAATTATTGATATACATACATACTAAAATTACATATATAAACGAATAATATATATATATATATATATATATATATATATATATATATATATATATATATAATTATTGAGGTCTCTGTTTCTAAGAAGTAAGGTAGGAGACACTCGTAAGTATAATCCGCCTAAATTAAAATGCTTTCTAACATCGTAACTGTCTCATACATAACCATGACTATTTTAATTTAATACTATTAATTATTTTTGTATGACATGGCAAGTACGTAATTGTTTCAATTCCTACTAGCCTTTTCCCGCGGCGTTGTCCGCATTAATCAGTATGTAAAATATTCTGAGTTAAAATATGATAAACAACCTACCTTCATAAAGTTTCAGCCAATTCAACTGATCGGTTATTTTATAGCATTTCATATGTGACTCTTTAGATTGATATAACTTTTTTATTTATGAACCGATTGAAATAAAACAAACACTAAATGTTAAGTGGAGAAAACCGCAACGTATCAGTGAAAACCATATTCAAATTGGTCAAGCAGTTTCTGAGATAAGCGCGCATAAACGTACTAATAGGCAAAAGTTTTGAAAATCTCTGACAAACCGCTATGATTTTTTATATGCTTGTTTGTTATTTTAGTTTTAATGGTGAAATGAAATAAAAAAAATTTACACCTATACGTGGCTTTTTTTAATGGATGATAATGGAATAGTAACCCCGCCTACGCTAACGGTATACGCTGGCGGCCCCGCCATCATCTCTCACTGGTGCCCACTAGTGAGAGATGATAGGTGAGAATGAAAAGGCAGGTCAGTTAGCCCATCGTGATAAATACACCTGGAATTCAATACGATGGTTTCCAGGGGGGACCACGTGAAGGTCCTGACAAGGTATATTGCTAGCAATGGAAATTGGTAGGTAGCATAACTATCTCCCCTCCACTATACGCGCCAGTGTCAATAAGGAATCAAAGAAAGTAAAATCGGTAAATTACTTTTCTAAGATTACATTTGGTTTATAAAAGATGGGAATTTACGCCATAATTTGGATAAAATATGCTAATTTACCTGGGTTTTGGTTATCTCGACATTTCGACTAGAAATCGGCGGTGGTCACTTGTAAATTGACGTACGGCTGTCACCTCTCCGCTTCCGAGGTAGAATTATTTTGTTCTACCCACTCGTTTTTTTTTTTCATGGGTGAAAATGCTATGGTGATCCCGCCCGCGCTAACGGGATACGCTGGCGGAGCACCAGTGAAGGGTGATAGATGAGAATGAAAACAGGCCAGTTAGCCCGTCGTGATGAATTCATCAGGAATTAACCATGATAGTTTCCAGGGGGAACCGCCAGGAGGTCGACCTGGTTGGGTATATTGCTAGCAATGGGATTCTCAGTCTCCATTACTAACAATCCCTTCCCCCGCGAACCTACTCGTTTTGACATATCGCACAATTGTGCCCCTATATTGAGGTATTTTGTCGAAAGATTTAGGAATTTCTGTACACAGGCAATGTTGTTTTTAGAAACATGTCGTAGTTTAACCTAAGAACATGGAATTACATAGAAATGATAAAATTGTCAATTCATAGCAGGCCAGTGTATAGACAATGTTATACGGCCGTATAACCCTACCAAATTCAGATACAACCTACTTGCATACTTTCTACATAAACTGTGTCCAATATATAATCTAGTAATGTAAAATTTGTCATTGACAAATAATTGACATATCAAACATTTTCTATACACTAGCCTAATATGAATTGAGAAAAAAAGTAACTAGTGGTGTATCTTTCGTCCTCTTTTTACTAATTATAGTTGCATAAGAAGCAAGGAGTAAACATATGATTTACAGTTTTTATTTTATCATTCCTTCTATGTAATTCCTTGTTCTTAGAGTTTTACTAAATCTTTTTTCTTTTCTTTTCTTCAATGACAATCGGTCATTATTTTTACGACCATTTCTGCCAGCGTCAAGTATTTTAATTTTAGTTTCATTCTTTAGAATATCGCCATGTTTAATAATTTCCCGCCTTTTTCGATCACCATGTTCAAATACATTCAACGATCATTATATTGAATCTACGAAAATCTTTTCAACCAACGTCAAACATAATTACGGTATATATATATATATATATATATATATATACTAGTTAATATTAGATTATAATTAATCTGTGGAGAGGTCAATTCTGTACATGAAATATATTTCCAAAATAACTATCAGGCGGTGATTAGTGATCGATACTGATGCCAAAAATGCAATCAGTAAAATTTTTGTCTGTCTGTCTGTCTGTATGTTTATTATAGAAACAAAAACTACTCGACGGGTTTTAACGAAACTTGGTACAATTATTCTTCATACTGCTGGGCAGGTTATAGTACACACATGTACATATACTATACAGGTTATAGTACATACATATACATATATATATACTTTTCATTACGCTACGATCAATAGGAGCAGAGAAGTGAAGGGAAATGTTAAAAATGTCCACCCGTGCGACGCCGGGACGGGCCGCTAGTATTAGATAAAATTCAATCTAAAGTTTAACTGATTGTTTTATTTCTTGTCTCTTATAAACCATAGACAATGTAGCGCGAAACACTAACAGTTAAAATTGCATTCGAATGTTTTAAATTGTTTTTCCTTTTAATTCTATATCGTCGAGAAAAAATTATAAATAGCGGTTATTAAAATAAATCACAGAGTAGCTAACAATAACTTATAATTTGAAATTCGAACATATTTCTTCCTAATGTTTTCCCGCCTAAATTAATAAGAACTTTTTTTTAAACCCAACCGGGATGAGGGGATTACGAAAGAAGGCAAAGGGTCATTGTGTATACAGTAATTTTTTTTATTTATTTTTTATTGTAACGTTGAAGGAGTTTTATAAAAAGTACACCTACAAATTAAAAGGAGTAAATATTTTTTAAGACGAAGCAGGTGTTTTGAATGCAAAATTTGACAAGGAATTTAATATACGTAAACCAAGCATATTTGTGGTTAAGTTATACCTATCTTATATTAAATTTCCCATTCCCCTATGGGAAAAAAGAAACAGCCAAGGGTCTTATGCGCCCCATGAATGTAATTATGTAAAACAGCAACACAATGATATTATTAGATAAGGCAATATTTTTGTGATACTTAGAATGGCAAACGATGTGAAATTGGCGGCCCACTTAATGCGAAGTAATAAGTGCCTATAGAATACACTGTGACACCCATGGTAGTTCTCAAACGTTGCCATTCTGAGAACTATAAAATTATATTACACTTACCAGAGGGAGACTTTGTACAAAAGTCGATTGCTTGGGTATCTCTGTCCCATTCGTGTTTTTACCGTGAAGCAGTTGTGTTTGCATGGCTGTGTTTTGGTTTGAAGGGTGGGATATGGCGTGTATTTACTGGGTACAGAGGAATAACACCTGAGACCTCAGGAATGGCAACGCATGGGGAGTATCATGGGCGAAACAGTATACTCTGTTATGTCCATGGTATAGCTCATGTCTATAGGCGACAGTTACCACTTTCCATCAGGTGGGCCGTCCCACCCTTCAAACCGAAACACAGCCATGCAAACACAACTGCTTCACGGCAGAAAAACGACAAACATTATGTGGTGCAATAAAGGGTAAATAAATAAATAAAGTCTTAAATTCAAGGGTACAGAGTTCTTAATAAAAGAATGAGTACAATGGTGGACTTATCACATAAAAGGGATCTCTTCCAGGCAACCTTTGATTGTTTGTAGAAATTGTGAATTGGTGGAGACAAGAAAAATTTACTATTTAAAAAAAAATGGTATTACAGTTACAACACGAGGAGTTATACAGTATTTGTTTATATCTTACATTATATAGATAGAGTGTCTCCAAACAAATGCTTCGAGAGAAGCGAGTCAACTTTTATATACAATTTTGCGTGACAAATAGTTATGAGTGGTTCCTTTATAACTTCTATATTTATTTTGTCTTATAATTTTTGCATCTTTTTAATGCGTAAACACTCATTTTGTTTATTAAATAATTAAATATAGATACGACAAGATACATTGTGTGCGTAAGTATATAGAACACTGATAAAAAAAGAGTCAGCTGATTTGACTATTAGCTGACAAAATGTTGACCTGTTTTTGAGACTCGATGCCTCTATCTATTATAATGTAAGGTTATTGTACTGCCGCTTCCCTTGGCAAGCGTATTGGGGGACTACAAAACTCGCCCAGTTGACCAATTAAATATATACATTAAAAAAAAAAAACAACTACGTACCCAGGCAAAGGAATCCAGTTGACAAGTTTTAAAAAATCCACAATTTTTTTTGTTGTTTAAAACACCTGTCACGTTTGTGTTGTTGATTTCACATAATGTGAGCCATGTTAATGATCTCACACATGACTGTTTCAAACAAGAATTGCACTAAATTGAACTGTCTTCGTGCTACACAGTAATGTATAGTGTTGTAACTCGAGAATGATTTGTGAATTTGTTATAGATAGATAGATAGATAGATACTCTTTACTGTTTCCTCCATAAGATTACAATAGTAAACTTATTATAGATACAAACAATTACAAGAAATGATCACAGTGAGACAACAATGGGCGGCTTTATCGCTAAGAGCGATCTCTTGCAGACAACCTTTGGATGGAGAGGAGTAATTATAAACAGTTTGATTGGGGGCACGATGAAATTTTATTATTTCTTAATATAGAGATGATACATGTAATAATGTAAATATATATCCTTACTTATTATACATTTTATCATTAGGGAGTTCATCCTCATGTCCTACAGCCTCAATGGTCGCGTACTGCGCGGTTTCAGAGATGTTTCCTCCCACGAACACTCAGGTTGTGGAATGAGCTCCCTGCTGAGGTTTTCCCAAGAGACTAGAGCAGGGGGTTCTTCAAAAGGGGGGTAAAGAGGTTTCTTCAGGGTCGGCAACGCGCGCGTAATATCTCTGGTATTGAGGGTGTTCATAGGCTACGGTAACCACTTACCATCAGGTGGGCTGTTTGCTTGTTTGCCACCTCAGTGGTATAAAAAAAGACAAGTTTACCAGAGGGAGACTTTGTACAAAAGTCGTTTGCTTGAGCAGCTCTCTCCCATTCGTGTTTTTACCGTGAAGCAGTTGTGTATATATATATATTGTACACATACTTATACATACCGTGTATGTATAAGGACTGGTAATGCATGAAAGATATCATGGGCGACACAGTATACTTTATACAGGTAGGCCGTCAGCTCGTTTGTTCTAAGTTATATTATATAAAAAAGACCAAAAAACGCGCGTACAGAATACGAGCTACAATCCTTTACCACTCACTCCATTATCAAACTGCGTCGATAACTCATTTGACCTATGCTCTCTTGAATTAAAGAGTCGTTGTTACACGTCCAGTTTACATTGACCCCTTCAAGTACATACTTCTTCCTCTGTGCCCAACAAGATCCTTAACAGTCGAGGAGCGAGGGAGTTCATTAAATATTGGACACTAATTGACATTAGCAATTTATAGAATTAATGCCGCAAGGTCACGCTGTAGTGTTGTGTGAAGAGCTCTTTGATGGTGTGTGTGTCTGATTGAGGTGTCAGGTTCGATTCTCAGTATAGTCAACTTAGATAATTAAGTTTTCTATATTATTTTTCTTTTTTATTATGCAAGATAGAATGGCAAACAAGCTGACGGCTCACTTGATGTTATTCCTCTGTACCCTGTAAATTCACTGCCACATCCCATCCTTCAAACCGAAACACAGCCATGCAAACACAACTGCTTCACGGTAGAAACACGAATGGGACAGAATGGAGATATTACATGAGAGATATTTAAGAAAAAATGTTATCCGGAGCCTTAATTAGAAGTCGATACAATATTGCCTTCCCTTTCACTCCTCCCCTTTCCTTATTCTTTATTCAGGTTATGGAATGAGCTCCCTGCCGAGGTTTTCCCAAGAGACTACCAGTCTTTTGACATATTCGGTATTGGACCAGTGTATAAATATTGTAACTGTAACCACCATGCGACTACAGCATGGGGTTCTTCAAAAGGGGGTAAAGAGGTTTCTTCAGGGTCGGCAACGCGCGCGTAATACCTCTGGTATTGCAGGCGTTCATAGGCTACGGTAACCGCTTACCATTAGGTGGGCCGTATGCTTGTTTGCCATCTCAGTGGTATAAAAAAAAAATTCTTTGTCACCTAAAACCAACAACCCACTTATTTAATGCTCAAAATACCTTCGAACTAATTTCCCATCTCGTTAAATCGATGTCACCAAAATCAAACAGGCTGGAAATAACGGTAAATTACCTTTGAGTGTTTATTTTCGCGCATACAGACCCCCTAGCACATTTTTTTATTAGAGCGAAAAATGTCTTACATCAAAAGCGTACTAGCCCGTTGAGATGTGAAACGCAACTGACCATCGGCGTTCTAAATTTGAATAAAGAGCGCGCTCAGCGCGACTAATGATTGGTCAGGGGTGTAAGCATAGACTAATCGGCTTATCTTCAATAGAGCATAGACAACGTCGTCGAGTGGGCTCTTTGATCACTGTAACGCTTGAATAACTTTTTAATATTACAAAGGCCTTATTGGAGCGTATTCTTCCAACTATAGATTCTTCAAGAGGGATTTTTTTTTTTCAGGTCAAATGCTTCGGGTTGCGTCCAGATTTTTTTGGCGGGAAAAATTTTACATTTTGTTTTTTCATTAATTTATTTTTATGTTAAGTATTGTATTAATTACAACGGTGACAATTGATATAACAGAAACTGGTCAGGTACGATTGAAATTTACACGCCGAGGGTTCCCTATAAATGTGTTTTAATGCATTTTCTAAAAATATCGAATTGACCCTAATAGTTATTATTGATACAGAAATTCGTAATTTCCTATTTTGAAAACCGTCATTGTGGTTAAAAGCCGAACCATACTAACTGTGCATTAGGAGGTCTATTTAGTTGTATACTTTTTTGTACAATTTTTTATTCTTTATTGTACACAAAAGGTTATTGAAATGTAAAAACAAATATAATAGTGTACAAAGGCGAGCTTATCTCCAATAGAGATTTCTTCCAGCAAACCCAATATGAGAAAACTGACAGTTCATTGGTAGTTACAGTCACACATGTGTACCAAGATGTGAGGGATGATAGGTGAGGATGAAGCAGGTCAGTTAGCTTATCATGACAAAATCACTAGAGAATCAATCACGATGGTTTCCAGGGGGAACCGCGAGGAGGTCGACCTGATAAGGTATATTGCTAGTAATAGGATTAATAATCCCCATTTCTAACAATCCTTTTCCGCCAAACTGACCCGTTGCTAGCAATACTTAGGTTGACCTCCACACAGTTCCCCCTGGAAACCATCGTGGTTAATTCTAGTGGAATTCGTCACGATGGACTAATAGACCTGCTTTCATTCTCATCTATCATCCGTCACTGGTGCCCCGCCAGCGTGTACCGGTAGCGCAGGCGGGGTTACCATTTCATTATCATCCATTAAAAAAGGGCCAATGATATGTAAAACTGTGTTTTATTTCAAATCCACAGCATTAGTGATGGCTGAGATATAGCGCTGTGATAGATGGAAGGGTCGATTTTCAGCGTAAGGGAGTTACCATAAGTACTCTGAAAATGAAATAGTTTGAGTTTTTATTAAAGACTAGCTGTGTCCCGCGGCATCGCCCGCACTAAATCATCTCTATTTAAATAGACTTGTTTACAAGCACTTTTAAATCGTAATTTTTTTAAATGATAAATAGAAAGATAGATAATTTATTTACATTACTTACAGCACACTAATTCAAATTTCATTGGAATTCCTTCAATAGTTTTTGTGTGAAAGTTACATAAAAGATAGTTACACTATTGCATTAGATATATTTATTTATAAAATATAAATAAATAAAAAAAAAAAATAAACAAATATTAGCAATTTGAAGGCAGTTTATTCGACCGCGCCATTGTTATCACACACACATACACACCCATTCCACCCATTTTGTACACTTCATTAATTTCATCAATTTCATCCATTTCGCCCATTTCAACCATTTCACCCAGTTCACCCGTTTCATCCATTCCATCCATTCCATCATTTCCATCCATTTCATCCATTTCATCCATTCCATCCATTCCATCCATTCCATCCATTCCATCCATTCCATCCATTCCATCCATTCCATCCATTCCATCCATTCCATCCATTCCATCCATTCCATCCATTCCATCCATTCCATCCATTCCATCCATTCCATCCATTCCATCCATTCCATCCATTCTATCCATTCCACCCATTTCATTTCAGATTCACGTAAACAACGCTTCGGGAAACACCTAGTCACTAATACCCCACGAAGAAACTTCCTAATTCTACAAAGTTGTTTAAAACTAAAATAAACTGTTGAATGGGAATTCTTTGCCGATTATACCGGGTGATTGCACCATGAACTCCGTCCAATATAACAGACTAGCGACCCGCCCCGGCTTCGCACGGGTGGACATTTTTAGCATTTCCCTTCACTGCTCTGCTCCTATTGATCGTAGCGTGATGAAAAGTATACTATAACCTGCCTAGGAGTATGGAGAATAATTGTACCAGGTTTCGTTAAAATCTGTCTAGTAACCTGCCCGGGCTTCGCGCGGGTGAATAGATTGAATGGAATGAAGAATGAGTCTTTTATATTAGCTTTAATAGGCAAAAATTTGATATTTTAGGTCACAAAACAATAATTTTCGTGGGGATCTCTAAGTTTTTTGAAAATATGTATAGCCTGTCTTAGTCAATGATGATATAGTCTCCTATAGGTGAAATTTCCATGTGGTCCCGGCATAGAATAAGCCACCCCTTCCTTTCCCGTGGTTTTTTTCTTCAATGGGTTACAATGGTATGGTAAAACCGCCTGCGCTAACGGGATACGCTGGCGGAGCACCAGTGAAGGGTGATAGATGAGAATGAAAACAGGCCAGTTAGCCCATCATGATGAATTCATCAGGTGTTAACCATGATAGTTTCCAGGGGGAACCGCGAGGAGGTCGACCTGGTTGGGTATATTGCTAGCAATGGGATTGTCTGTCTCTATTACTACCAATCCCTTTCCCCCCCCCCCCTTTCTCGTGGTTGTCGTAAGAGGCAACTGAGTGAGGGCGAGGGATGAGCAGCAGCGTCTTTCTGAAAACATCTTTAAAGCCTAACTCGATAGGGGAGGAATAAGGTCCTACCCTAGATAAATTAGTCCTGACTGGCGACAGCGTGATGGACCAGGTCGTTGAGTTTTGTTTACAACACAGGGGGCAAACGAGCATGCAGCTCACCTGATGGCAAGTGACCACCGCCGCCCATGATCACCCACAACACCAGCGGCATTGCAGGTGTGCTGCCGGCCTTTTAAAAAGGAATATGCAGTTTTCTTGAAGGTT